ATAGCTTGATCTTGTTTTGAAATTTTTTTATGTAATGATTCAGGATATTTTAATTTTTCATCATTTGATAAATCTAATTCATCATAATTAAAATAGAAGAATTTTTTATCATTATCTTTAATTGATCTTAATCTTGTAATGAATAATGAAGTTAAATCACTACAACCAACAACTGGATGGATTGCTTGAACTAATTGAGGATATTGCATTGCATAACGAATAACAACATGACCACCAAGTGAATAACCACATAAAATATTATTAAATTTAATTTCTGTACTTTGATTAATTGCTCTAAATTCAGGAGTTAAATAATAATCTAAATTTAAATAACTTGGAAGAAAATCCATAATTAATTTAATATTTTGAATAGTTGAATCAATAATTGACATCATATCAATAGCATGATTTTGATTATTTTCATTCCAACCTTGATTATTTTCATTATCAATTAATCTTTGTCCATGATTTGGAATATCAAAAGTAATACAAATTAAAGGAGTTTTGACATTTGATTTTTTTTCATAATATTGCTTTAAATAATTATAAGCAACTGCTTCAGTATATTTATAATTTCCTTCACGATGATGAATTAAATAAACAACATTAATTGGAATAACATCAACTGGGTGATCAACTTTATTAAATTGTTCAACATATGATGCTAATTTATCTGAATTATAAACATGTGTAGCAATTCCACCAATATTGTAAGTTACTTTGGAGTAAGATTCAGGATCAAATTCAAATAATTTCATTGTGCTTTTTAAAAATGGAGTTTTGTTGAACCAACCAATTGAAAAAGAAGTGTATTGCTTCCCCATTCTTTTTTTTTTTCATCTTTCATTTCGTGGGTTGATTTTTTTTTTGTTTTTCATTCGGTTAATTGATTGCTAACAACCCCACCGCGTCCACGCCCACGTCCATGTCTACGTCAACCACCACCACCAACACCACCACCGCAGCCGAGTCCGTTCTTCCTCGCTAATTATTTTTTCATTTCACCAACTCACCCACCCACATATTATACGAGCTAGCTAAAGAATAATATGCAAAGTTCATTAAGAATTATTTTGAAATAATTTGGAATTAATTTCATTGGTCAATTCATTGAATACTTTCATTCAACGTTCATAAACTACATTATAATTCGGAACCATGAGTAGGAAGAGGTGGAGAAGTGTTCAATTGTTTTCGGTAAGTCGGTTTAATGGATACACCTCAAGAGTTGTAATAATCTTTACTATCAAGGTAAAAGGAATCGGAACAACCCCCTCACTTTTTCCATAACTGTATCTCATATCAATAAGAAATAATAATCATAATATTGACAATAGAAGGCTTGAAATTTGATATTCAAAATTCGGCCGACTCTACAGGGTAAGATCCCAAAAGGACGTGTCCGAATCATTTTTTTCTTTATGTAAGAACGGCTAATTATTTTGGTACTATCCCTTTTATCAGTTTCAACATTTTGGGTTTTATCTTGAAAACAGATATCTAACCCAGCAGTGTATGACTAGAGTTGTGTGTTGTATTCTATGATTCAGTGACTAATAAAAAAAGCTGACCCCGTGAGCTAGTCACGGGATAAGCGCGTGTACTAGGTTGTTATCTAGTTAATTTAAATGGTAAGGATATCAGTGCTTGTGTGTAGTATCACAGAACTGAAAAGGATTATGCAAAAGTATTAACTGTGTGATGACCATAATGGTGGTCAGTGTATATACATAGTATGTATTTTGTTACCTTGTTAAGTATATACATGGCTGGTACAAAGTTGTACAGTATAGATATGTTTGTGATTGCCAAGTGGGCTATACATATTCTCGGGATGAGGAACCAATGGCTGGGAGAGTAATGTCCGAGAATATGAATAGGAGTAATTACCCATGCCTTCTAAACGGAAGATAGTTGAGGGCGTTAAGGAAAACTATAATGTTTATAGAGACTTACTAGGCTCTCCTGCTACTGGCTCTAATTCTTCTGTAACAAAAGGTCGTGTACATTTGGTTGAGTTTAAGTACACGAAACATAATTTCATATTTATCCACACACATCAAAAATGCCTTCAAATTTACATCAATGCAAACCAAATTGAAGGATCATGAATATATTAATCCTTTACATACGGTTAGTCTCTCTTTCTTAGTTGCTTTCCTTTATTATGGAGTTCGCGATGGAAACATTGTATTCTTAATGGGCAGAAGACATAGAGATTTCTAGTTGTATAGGATATATCGTAAGGCACATCAATATATACATTGATACGTGAAATAATACATAGTCTAGACAGAAAGTAGAATGAACAACTTCATTCAGGTGAAACTTCGAATACAAACAACATGAACAAAGATCAGTAATACATCAAGTACAATGGATGAAATTTATTTCCCACTTGCTCAAACATCCCTCTTCTCCTTTTGACAGTAATCTAATACTTCACTCGAAATGATAATATCCATTGGGGGATAACGGAAGATATAGATAAAATCAAAAGAATCGGGGATTAGTCAGCAAAGATCTGGCAATCAATCTACTGAACCTACTTGTGTCAAAAGTGTTTTGTGGCCTAGTACACGCCACCGTTAACTACGGATAAATTTTCTCCTCTCTCCATCTTCGGTTCTCACTTCCGCTTTTTCTCTTCCGCTCTCTCTCTCTCTCCACAAAAATGTAGAAGAACAACAACAAGAAGAAAAAACAACTGAATGCAAATATTTCACAGGCTTGCTTAATAAAAAAAACACTATAAATAACCAAGAACACCCCCCCTTTGATTTTCCTTTCTAAATTCAACAATTCTGATTCCCGTTTCTTAATCTTCATTCTTTACTTAGCCTTGATCAATAATTTACAATGACACCACCTTCTAAAATTGAGGACAGTTCATCATCATCATCCTCATCAGCAGATTCTTCCACTTTTGTTACTGGTAATTCATGGTATACTAAAGTATCAGATATTAAACCAGGTGTTGATAGATTAATTGACGCTTTTCATACTAAACAAAAGACTCAAGATGTTCAATTTCGTTTAAATCAATTGAGAAACCTTTATTATGCCGTTCAAGATAATACTGATGAATTATGTGAAGCTTTAGAGAAAGATTTTCATCGTGCAAATACTGAAACTAAAAATTTAGAAATTGTTGGTGGATTAGCTGAATTAGTTCATACTATGTCAAGTTTACACGAATGGTTGAAACCTGAAAAAGTTACTGATTTACCAATTACTTTAAAAACTAATCCAATTTATATTGAAAGAATTCCATTAGGTGTTGTTTTAATTATAAGTCCATTTAATTATCCTTTCTTTTTATCATTTTCTGCTATTGTTGGTGCAATTGCTGGTGGTAATGCAGTTGTTTTAAAACAATCTGAATTAGCTCCTAATTTTTCAAGTTTATTTAGTAAAATTTTAACTAATGCTTTAGATCCAGATATTTTCTTTTCTGTTGATGGTGGAATTCCTGAAATTACTGAATTATTAGAACAAAAATTTGATAAAATTATGTATACTGGTAATAATACTGTTGGTAAAATTATTGCTAAAAAAGCCGCTGAAACTTTAACTCCAGTTATTTTAGAATTAGGAGGAAAATCACCTGCTTTTATTTTAGATGATGTTAAAGATAAAGATTTAGAAGTTATTGCTAGAAGAATTGCATGGGGTAGATTTACCAATGCTGGTCAAACTTGTGTTGCTGTTGATTATGTTTTAGTTTGTGAAAAACTTCATAAAAAATTTGTTGATATTTTAATTAAAATTTTACATGAAGAATTTTATCCTGGTTTAAATAAAGATACTAAAGGTTATACTCATATTATTCATGATCGAGCATTTAACAATTTATCAAAGATTATTTCAACCACAAAAGGAGATGTTGTATTTGGAGGAGAAACAGATGCTAATTCAAGATTTATTTCTCCAACTGTTATTGATAATGCATCATGGGATGATTCATCAATGAAAGGAGAAATTTTTGGTCCAATTTTACCAATTTTATCATATGATAAATTATCAGATGCTATTAAACAAGTTTTAAATCAACATGATACTCCATTAGCTCAATATATTTTCACATCTGGTTCAACTTCACGTAAATATAATCGTCAATTGGATCAAATTTTAACTTATGTTAGATCAGGTGGGGTTATTATCAATGATGTTTTAATGCATGTTGCTTTAATTAATGCTCCATTTGGTGGTATTGGTAATTCTGGTTATGGTTCTTATCATGGTAAATTTTCTTTTAGAAGTTTTACTCATGAACGTACTACAATGGAACAAAAATTATGGAATGATAATATGGTTAAAGTAAGATATCCTCCTTATAATTCAAATAAAGATAAATTGATTAAAATTTCTCAACAAAATTTCAATGGTAAAGTTTGGTTTGATAGAAATGGTGATGTTCCAGTTAATGGACCAAGTGGGTTATTTACTACATGGACTTCAATTACTGGTGTCTTTAGTTTACTTGCTGAATTCATAACCAATAAACAATAAGTGATTTGATTTGGTTTTGTTTAGTTTAACTTAGTTTTGTTTAGATATTGTCTTTTTAATAGTTTATTCAATGTTACGTGTGTGTGTGTGTGTGTATGTGTGTGTTCGTGATAATTATGATTATTTATTAAGATCAATTAGAAAAACAAACAGATTGATTTAGCGATATATTATGTATATAGATAATAGTAAAAATAAAAAAAGAAGCATTAAAAATAAAGGGATTATTAACCAAACAAGATAGTAATTAATTAAGTATAAGGATTCTAAGATTAATAAAGTAAAGAAAAGTAAAAACCATTGACTTCCACGTGATGATTAAAGACCATGAATAATAGTTGAAACAAAAAATAGTTAACAAAAAAAAAAAAAAAAAAAAACTCATTAAGTACATATAGTAGTAGGATTAGTTTGAATGATGAATAACGAATGGGGGGAAGTAATTATTATTAATTAAAGAAACGATTGGTTTTCAGTGAATGATTTTCAATGAATGATTTTCAATGAACGATTTTCAACGAGATAATGGCTTGATTTAGTCAGAAATAAATGTAACTTCAGTAAATCCAAGACCTTCTTCTTTAACATCATTGACTTCAATTTCAAATTCATTTGAAAATTGATAAATATAAGGTTTGGCACCGGCAACTCCACTAACAATGTTTTTAACAAATTGAGGAATTTCAGCCATAACATCAACTCTTTCAATTAATTTTTTCAAATCACCAGTAACTTTAGCAACTGATTTATCATCTTCAATAAAATCAAATTCAATCTTCTTAGGAACTGGCCAACCAACTTCATCAACTTCTGAGTCGGAATGAGTAACTTGATTATTTATAGTACCAATTATTACTTCATCATCTTTAACAACCATTCCAATATTAACTTTAGTAGTACCATAAGATATTGGAGTAGTGAATTCCATTTGAATAGCACTATAATGTTCACTTTGGAAATTTATAAAATTCCAAGATTTAGCAGCATGATGAGGTTTCATACCTTGTAAAGCAAACACAAACATAGTTAAACCATTATCAATAATATATTCTTTTTCTTTGGTGATGATTTTCCCATTAATTTTACATCTTGGCCAAAATACATGTCTCATTGATCCCCAAGGTTGTTCAGGATCTTCCCCATAATAAGTCATACCATCATCACCAAATATAACTCCATCAGAAATTCTTTCCATTTCAAATTCAACAATTGAATCATCACATACATGACTTTTCAAAGTATATATTTTATTATCAGTCATTTCTAAACTCAAATTGTCAGCATGAAAATTATATCCATCAGTTCTAAAATTTTCCAATTTTGTAGAAGTCCATAAATTAAGTTTATCATCTTCAGGATTAAATAATCTAAATGTAAATTGAGCAGTAGTAGTTAAACCCATAATATTTGAATGAATAATTTGAGCAAACCCAACATTTTTAGTTTTTAAATCGGTGAAATAAAATGTTTGAGTTTCAACATTAGTATAATTTGGTGATAACCAAGTAAAATCCTCTGGTTTAGTTGCTCGATAAACTTTTGTTGAATCTTTTGGAATTCTTTTAGTAATTGGTTGAATTGCATCTGGACCATATTCTGGTTCTGCAAATCCTGCAACAGCAGAAAGTCCTGATTGTACCCACTTAAGCATTGATGATTAATATTTCCTGTTACTAATTGGTTCTTGTAATTAACTAACTAACTAATTAATTAAATGAATTCACTAACTGTTGTATCAATTGTAAAAGAAAGATTAAAGCAATTGGATAATTTTTTTTTTTGGGTTGGTTGGTTTGCCTTTTTTTTTTTCCTCTGCGTCTTTTTCTGATTTTTTTTTTTTACTAACAAATTTGTTGTTGTATTACATAAGCAGCAAGATTGTCACCCAATGCACGACAGTAGTGTATCCACAGACAACTTTTGCACACACACACACAAAATGTAATAAACTGGCCATAATTACCTTTTTTTTAAAAATTATCGTATAACTTGTAAAATATTAGGAAGAATATCTCGTTGTGAAGAGATTATCAACCGCTTAGTGTAAATGCAGAATTCCACTAATTTCATATAAAAAAAGAATATCAATTATAACAGGGCTGGGCCATACTGTGCTTGTTGGTGTAATAAATGAGAATTTACTTCTATTCCACACACACACACACACACACACACAATAATAATAATAATACTAAAAAATAGGAGTAGCAATTTCAAGAAGATCTTTCGCAACAATAAAACCTTGTTACACCAATGATTAATAGCATGTGCAAATATATCACTTGTGTTGTTGATATGTAAACCGAATTCCGGTTAAATGAATCATCTCAGAATTCATACAATATAAATTTTTAAGGATTTGATAACAATTAGTGTGTAAAAATATAACGATTATATATATCTTTTTACTGTTTCACTGTAATGGTGCTATTTGTACATATGATTTTTTCTCTTTTTGGGTTGTTCATCCCTGGCGCACACAAAGGGCGAGCTCTCCCCGCTACAAGGGACCCAATCGACCGACAGTACCGCCATCGACTGTTTTTTCTCGCTCAAAAAAATTTTTGGCACCAAATTAATTAATTCGTACCCACCGTATATCCAATACGATAATAAATAACCATACACTAAACTAAAATGATAACAAAAAATAAACCATGCCTATATTAAAGTAAATAAAGTTTTGTTTTCTAATATGTAGTAATTTATATAGAAAAGAAAAATAACCAGATATATGTAATATAAAATAATAACTAAAATAATAATAATAATAGTAATAATAAAAAAAAAAATAGTTGAAATAACAAAAATGCACTTGTAATATGGTCAACAATTAATAATCCATAACTTTTCTTCTCTTGAATGGTGTTGCAGTTTTAATTCCTGGTGGATGTGCGTCAAGAACTGTACTGGATGGTGATGATGCTTTAAAAATTGATGTTGATGATGAACCAGATGATGACGTAATTGGAGTAGTATTTCTTTCAATATGGATATCACTTAAACTATTTTTCAATTTAGACTCTTTATCAAAATCCCATAATAACTTCTTCCATTGAGTTAAGTTTTGATGTAATTTAAATAACTTCATCAAATTATCTTTATAATCAATAGATTTAATTTCATTCTTATTCAACAATGCATTATATAATTCTGAATATTCTTTATACTTGTTTTTAAATTTAATGGCCAAATTAGTATAATAATCTAATTTTGATTTTTGACTATTAACTCCATTATGTCCACTTGCATTATTATTGTTACTTGTTGATTCTTCTTCTGATGACGGAGGTGAAGTATAATTTAACTTTTTTGAATCGTCATCTTCTGAAGATGAACTTGAACTTGAGAATTTTCTCTTATTGTTAACTTTAACTTTAACTGGTGGACTTGGTATGGAGTTGGAATTAGTATTTCTAGGAGGAATATTCACTGGCGTACTAGCCTTTGACGACGCAACCACCGGTGTTGTAGCTTTAGGTGGTGCAACCACTGGAGTATTGACTTTTGATGAAGAAACTACCGGGGTATTGATCTTGGATGTAGTATTAACTGGAGTATTAACCTTGGATGTAGTATTCACTGGAGTATTGGCCTTTGATGGAACTGGAGTAGGAGTTGATCTCTTTTTATTATTTGATGAAACAGAAGAAGAAGATATCAAAAACCCACCACCTAATGAGGATCCATTTGGTTTTTTGGTTTCAGATCGATTATCATCCTCATTTGGAGGTTCAACAATTTTTCTTCTTAAAGGATGACTCTGTGAAAATCCAATTCTTGTTAATGCATTATTGACATTATTTAAAATAGAATTTCTTTCATAATTTGTATAATTCCATTTCCAAGGAGTTAATTCTTTATAACTTTTATCCTTCAAAATAAATCGTTGTACTTCTTCATCCATGTCATCATCAGAATCATCATTACTATTATTATTAGAGTCAATATAAGGAAATCGATCTTCTTGAATAAATTGATCCTGATCATTATAAACTTGACCATAATCGTCCAACAAATGATCTATTTTTGTATAATCCAATAAGTCAACAATATGATTATATGTGATTGGACCCAATGCTAATAAATGTATAAATTTTTTAATGATACTTGCTTGATTATCACTTGATAGGGATATTTTGTAAGGATTTTTTGTGGTATTTGAATAAGTGGAATAAGCTGATCTTCGACTAACTGGTGAACTAGGAACCAGTAACGACGGTGTTAGCCTATTGTTGGTATTATTATTATTATTATTACTATTAGTGTTCCCATTAATATATGATCCTAGTTTGTTATTATGATTCGAACTTAAAGCATTTGCAGCATTAATTTCTTTGATTTTCTTAGAATCGGTAACCACAGTTAATTTATTAATTATTCTACCATCATATTGAGAAACCAATTTTGTGGATGTGCTCTTATTAGATATAGAATATATATCAACGGGTAAATTTTCGGGTAATGGCAAACAAGGTAATACTAGCTCCTCAGATAACTTGATAGATACGTTACCATTCTTGACAATTAATTTAATTTTGTTGTTAGAGCCATTAGATTTCAATAAATGTATGAGATCATTAGTTAATTTGATTGAAAATGATATCGGGCTAGAATTTGACTGTGGTGGCAGTAGATTTGATATTAGAATATTTGAACAAGACATTGTACTGATGGTGAGTGGTGAATGGGTCTGTGGTTAGAAGAAGAAGAAGATGATGATGGTGAAGAAGATAGTTAAAACAAGGGGGAAGGGAGGAGGAAAGGGAGAATAGGTTGTTGTAAGTAAATGGATTAAATTCTGTTGTAAAAGAGAAAGAGAGTTGTAAATTTTTCTTTTTCCTTTTCCTTTCCTTTGGGTACACAGACAGAAAAATTAGATAATGTATGGGTGCGTGGGTGTATGACAAAAGAAAAAAAAAATTATTATTAACACTAACTGACTAACTAACTAACCAAGTAAGTAAGTAACAATGAAAGGGGGGGTTTATCGTCCTATACAAACTAAAAGCTAAAAAATTGTAAGTAATAAGAAAAAAAAAAAAATTTACCTGATTAATTAAATTTTGAAACTACGAGACAACCAAATTGGCAACCATCTTCAGACAGCACTCAGACAACCAATGTAGATGATCATATTGATGTTGTTGTTGTTCAAGAAGATGATAATCTCTTATGTCCTTGTACCTGTGCTGCTAGTATTGTTTCCTGTTCTTTTTGTATATAAAAAAAAAAGATCTCTTTTTGTAATAAGTGATAGGGAATGTATTTAAATTTACATTTGGACTAAAAAAGAAACAAACTCATTCTACTCAAACTCTCACACTCACACTCACACAAATGACTGACCGACTGATTAACTGACTGACTGATTGGGCTACTTTGTTTATTTTGTTTATTTATTTATTCGGCTATTCATCGCGCATAATTTCTAATTAATTTGTACAAATAATTTTGTCTTCGGTGATATCTCCCATAACCATAACTATAACTATAACCACTAAATCATCAAGTAACCCCCATTCATAATTGATATTTTCATAAATTACAATATCACCCTTTTACTATAAGAGCCAAGGATGATTATAATATGTGTTGCTGTGTAAGCTAGTAGTAGTGATAGTAATAACAGCAGTGGTTAGAATGTTCCCATCATTTTTTCTTTCTTTTGTGAGATATATTTTCCGTAATGTCCTGACTTACTACAACAACGGAAAAAGGGAATTTATTCCTCACACACAAACTGATCTCACACACTCACACTAACACGCACACAGACACACACCTGATTAGCGATAACGTGATATCCCACTAACCATAATCATTCCATTATTATTCAATTAAATACAATGAATACACATATTCTATCTAATTAGATGATCATACTTTATAAATTCCAGAATTCTACTTTTTGTCTGTTAATCGTCAGATGTGTATTAGCGGAGATACACTCATCATTGCTGTACTTTTTAGTAACCTCATCAAATATGTGTAGATCAAAAAAAAAAAATTTCAATACTTTATGTAAATACACAAAAATTAATATGAAACGAAATTTACACTACATTCATCTAGGCGAAATACATTTGTCTATTTATAGACTGAAATCATTGATATCATCATCATCATCATCATTGAAAGTAACAGAGTGAACCATCATATTGTTCTACCTCTTTATTGTTTCTTTGACTTATCTCCTCAACAGTTTATCGTACCCCTCTATATAATAACTCAACTCTGTGATATACGGTTTTCTTTTCTTTCTTTCTTTTTTTTTTTTTTTGTTGGGTATCATTAACTAGAGACCCCACACACATATATATATATTTTGTACATTCTTTTAATAATTAAATATACTCTTATAATATAAACATCTACTACCTAATAAATCCCAATCTTTTTGTGTGATCCACATCTCATTAACAACTTTTAATCTACCATAAACACTACCTCCTTTCCATGTAATCATCGATGGATCAAATTCTCTTGGTGATGGTAATATAGTAACTGGTAAATGGCTACCATTCTTATCAATCAATTCATCAATATATTCAATATCTAATTTTAATTCTGTTTGATTGTTAATTTTTTCAATTGTCTCTTCTGGTAATTCAACTTCTCCAGTTGGTTGCTGCTGTTGTTGTTGATCAGCATCAGTAGTTGTCTCTACTGGTTGACTTTCTCTAATTTTCTGTTCTGCTTCTTCAATTAGATTTTGTCTTTTTATTGTATTGGATTTAATCTCATCATTCAAATGCCCAACTACAACATCTAATGCTGATGTAGATAATATTTTGGGTCTCCAGATATTTAATCTATCAGTTAATAATAAATCATATCCATTGATCTTGGCTAATCCACCTCCAACAATTAATATATTATCATAAAACTTTTTGATTTTACTCATATCCGATGCCAAACCTGCATTTGTAATAGATTCAATGATTGCCTTTTCTAAAGGTACATCAAATAATCTTTCATCACCTTCTTCAGTTTCAACCTTATCATCTCTGGTTATTTCTTCTCCAATTAATTTCATTAATAATTCTTCATCAGTTAAGTCACAATAATTAACTTGTGTTTTTAATTCTTCTTGACTCTTACTTGTTGGATTATTTGGTTTATTGCTATACTGATCTAATGATTTCCCAAATAAGTTATCAACTGTAAGTCTGTTCGTTTTACTACTGGAATTATAATTTGGTATTGATGGTTTCTTATTCTCCAATTGGAATATCTTAGGGAAGAATAATCCCATTGGGGCAAGCATAACTTCATCAAATACTTTGAATTCATATTTCGCTGTTTGTTTAAACGGATTTCTCTTGTAAAAATCATACAATTGTACGGCGATATCTGCATCTTGAAAAGTTATAAATTTTTCCTTCAATTCTTGTGCCAATTCCCAATCATACGAATCAATCAAATTAATATCTTTATAAGGAAATTGATCTTCCAAGATTAATTTAATAAAAGTCTCTGTAATGTTATCACCTCCATAATTCAACAATATTCTTGAATCATTGATAATCATCCCTTCATCAACACAACTAATTTTGGTGGTTTGGGCACCCACATCAACTATACATGCAGTACTTGCAGTTGCTCCAAATGTAGCAGCAACTGCTTCTTGTAAAATACCAACTCTACCAAAGCCAATAAATTTAAATAATAATTCAACCCACGTTTCAATATATGATTTATCATATAAATCAGGTATTAATAACATCACTTTAAATCTAGAAATATTCTCAATTCCCAATTGTTTTAAGCATTCTCCAAGGATATTAGACAAATCTCCTAAGATTTCTTCTCTTGATTCATAATCATAAGAATATTCATTAAAATTACCATTGATCATTGGATATCTTAAAATCCATCCATCATTTAAAATTAATTTCAACGCATCTTCTCCCACATAATATTCTTTGGCTCCTCCTTTAATCCATTCCTTCTTGTTTGGATCATTATGATCATGAATTTTCTCTGGTTCACGTTTACGATTGAAATTAGAAACAGTTTCTCTGGAATTGGGTAATACTCTTCTTTTATAGAATCTCATTCTTGCTCGGAAATCTTTAGTCATTACTGCTTTTTGCTCATCAAATTCTTCATCTATTATGATATCCCCATCTTCTTCATCTTCTTTAAAACTTCTTGTTGGGAAATTTCCATCCAATTTGGGTGTCTTGGTTTGTTTACGAACAGCAATAACATTAGGTACAACCATTGGAACTGCATCTGTCGCTTTACCAATTCTAATAAATCTCGTACCGGGTTGTAAGATAATTACATCCTCACCAATTTTAGCCTTTTCTTCACGCACTTCTTCAGTTTCATTTTCATCATCCTCTTCTTCTTCATCATCAACTCCAACTTCAGCTGTCATTTCTTTCTTCATTTCAATTTCAATATCATTTAAATTAAAATCATCAAAATTCTTAATTTCTTTTTTATCATTACCACTTGGAGTTTGTACCAGCAGTGAATTTTGTTGTTGTTGTTGCTGCTCATCTTGTTTTAATTTCTTGAGCTTTTGTTGTAATGCTCTTTCATGTCTCCAATTTCTAATAAACCCAACTTGTTCATCTTTTTTCAAATATTCAGTGAAATAATTTTTTTGATTAATTAACGGTATTGTCTTAACACTAGTTAATCCAAATCCATTTTCTTGTTCAAATCTACCAATACCTGTTTTAGCTAAATTTTGTGCCAATGTAGCAGCAGCTTTAATTCTACCTTCTTTTCTACGTTGCAATGTTTCTGCACTAGGTTTCTTACCTGCAACTGGACCTGGTTTATGTCTCTTTTGTGCTTGCTGTTGTTGTTGTTGTTGTGTATTACCTGTAGTGGTAGTCGTCGCTGTTGTTGTTGTTGTAGAATCAGATGGTGAATCTAAAGATATTGGATTTGGTTGAATTGGATCTGATGGTGGGACATCTGCTTGTGATGATAAAAGTGGAGTATTTGCTCCTGAATCATACTGTGGAGGTGATGTAGGCGGATTTATGGCATCCAGCATTGTTGTCGCAGTCGTTATTCAATTGATGGATTATCTCGTTGGTTCCACCACTGTTGTAATCAATTTTTTTTTTCACCTCATGGTTAATCTTTTGGTTGTCTACATTTTTTTTTTTTTCGGTTGCTTGAGAGAACAAAAAAAAAAAGAATCAATACTACATATGGTAGCGTATGTTGAAATGGTTGCCAGTTTTTGAATTTTTGATATATTTTTTTTCGTTTGGAATACCAGTCAACACTTTACTGTTAAATCAACCACCAACAAATTAAAATGTATATATATAGATCATGTTGTTCTGTTGATGGTTTTTTTTTCTTGGATCATTACATTGACCTGCATTAACCACCACTCTAGATACTCTTATAGCAAATAAACAGTTGTGGGTTTTTAGTGTGGGAGTGGGGTAGATGAGTGGAGTAGTCTCGGCGGTTGTAAAGAATGATAAAAGAAAATGTCTCATTAGATGAGTTGATGTAACGTTCAAGTATCATGAAAGTCGATTTTGATGATTATGATGATGATGATCAGATTTATAATCTGGCTTATACTCTGGAGATAACTAATTCTCATATCGTATCGATGTAAGATTATTCTGTATGTATGGGACAAGTAGGAATTTGAAAAATAAAAAAGGAAGACACATTTCCGATGTGAAATGTCGTGAGGGAATATTTTTGGTGTTACTCGGCGGTGGAGGATGGTTGTAGACCGAGGCTCGGGAGTTGCAGGAACACCCCGTAGAAAAAACAAAGTGGGAAAAATAAAATGTCGCAGCAACAGTGAGCCCTTCTATATTTTTATATGCTGCAGCAAATGTTTGATTTAGACAACCCAAAAGGAAAAACACGTTCAAAAGAAAAAAGTGAGGGGAAGAACAAAAACAAAGTGTAGAAATGAGAATTTTTAGACAGCTCAGGCTGGGATCCATATGAATTGTTAGAATATTTACAACCGATCTAGACAACCAGTTTACAACCACATTTCATGAGAAGATGTATGAACTTATATGGGATCATCATTATAACCATTATCAACAGCCCAAGTCAGTAGATACAACACCACCTCTCTATATATCATGTAGTGCCATCTCTTTTTTTTTATTTCAAGTTTCATTTTGTGACAAACGGCAACGACATTTTACATTAAAAAAAAAAAAAGAAAATACAAAGAAAACCGAGTCGCCTCTTTTTGTTGAACTTTTTCTTTTTTGGCTGTCTGTATATATTCAAACTAAATCTGTTTTTTTTTTTGGCACATCCTTTAATTTACTTAGCAAAAAGAAAAAAAAATTTTGTAATCCTTTTCTTTTCCTTCTTCAATTTAGACAACCAACCGTCTTTTCAATTATCTATTCCATTTAACCACAACCTCCTACACCCTACACCCTACAACTCACACACTCACACATCATGTATAGACAATTTACTCGTGGATTTGCTTCTTCTGCTCCAGCAAGAAACTATGCATCAACCATCAAAAACTTGAAAATTAACCTGGATACTAAAGTCATCTACCAAGGTTTCACCGGTAAACAAGCAACTTTCCATGCTGAACAAGCAATTGCTTATGGTACTCAAGTCGTTGGTGGTATCAACCCAAGAAAAGCTGGTACTACTCATTTAGATAGACCAGTTTTTGGTACTGTTGCTGAAGCCATGAAGGAAGCTGGCGCAACTGCTACTGGTATCTTTGTTCCACCTCCACTTGCCGCCGCTGCCATTGAAGAAGCTATCACTGCTGAAATTCCATTGGCTGTTGCCATTACCGAAGGTATCCCACAAAAAGATATGGTTAGAATTGCCCAAATTTTGAAAACTCAAGATAAAACCAGATTAGTTGGTCCAAACTGTCCAGGTGTTATCTCCCCAGATCAATGTAAGATCGGTATCATGCCATCTCAAATCCATCAAAGAGGTAAAGTTGGTATTATTTCCAGATCAGGTACTTTAACTTATGAAGCTGTTGCTCAAACTACTGCTGTTGGTTTGGGTCAATCTTTGGTTATTGGTATGGGTGGTGATCCATTCCCAGGTACTAATTTCATTGATGCTTTGACTTTATTCTTGAACGATAAAGAAACCGAAGGTATTATTTTAATTGGTGAAATTGGTGGTTCTGCTGAAGAAGAAGCTTCTGAATTCTTGAAACAATACAATTTGACTAGACCAGAAGGTCCAAAGCCAGTTGTTTCCTTCATTGCTGGTGTCTCTGCTCCTCCAGGTAGAAGAATGGGTCATGCTGGTGCCATTGTTGCCGGTGGTAAAGGTGATGCTAAATCTAAGATTGCTGCTTTGGAATCTGCTGGTGTTGTTGTTGAAAAATCCCCAGCTAGATTAGGTAAATCTTTACACGCTGAATTCAAAAACAAAAACTTGTTATAGATCATGAGAGATTGAGAGAGAGAGAGAGATGATGATATTGTTAAATAATAAAAATTACAAATAAAGGCAAAAGGATATTTAATTTGCTTTTTTTTTTCTACTACTTCTTCTTATTCTTTTTTATAAAATGTTATACACAATAAACTTCATAGAATATTTTTCAATTACATAACTCTAAAATGTGGGTTTGACACTGTCGCACGACTTTTTCGTGATATTGATTTCTCACAAATGAAAGCGAAAGAGAAAAATCAAGAAGAAGAAGAAGAAGAAAAAAAATTGACTGAAAATTTTCAAACAACCAAAGATTGAGATATCTTCAGCTGTTACTTATCCACATTTTACACAAATCATGTTTAGATCATTACTTTTGCCGGCATTGCGTTCTATTAGACCAACCATTTCTGGATCTTTAACTGCCACTCTTATCAAACCAACATCAATATCTACTATACAATTTTTCTCCACATCATCAATAAATCATCGAGTTAATACATCTACTGCAACTAAAGAAAATGTTCAAGATTTAGAGACATTTTTAACTCTTATTGGACGTAATTGTATTGAATTTAAAGATTCATTTGAAAATGATTTAAATAAATTTTTAGAAACAAGTTCTGAAGAAATGAAAGAAATGGGAATTGATACTAAAACAAGAAGATATTTATTAAGATGGAGACATAAATTTGTTAATGATTTAGAACCTTTAAGAGTTCATAAACAAGGTAAAAAGAAAAATGGAGGTGAAAGAAATTCTAAAACTGTTATTGCTAAAAGAAAAGCTTTGGAAAGATTGGAAGAAAAGGAAAGATTTGCTCAAGAAGAATTGGAAGCTGAAAAGAGAGGTGAAAGATTATTTTAAAATTTTTTATCATACAGTAGTAGTGGTATTAGTAGTACAATTCATGTAAATAGAATTTTATTAATAAAAGCATTCATATATTCATAATTCATGTGGTTGATACTGACAATAGTCCATTCGTTGTTGATTTGTATTGAGCGAGAGCCTAACAAACAAAAAAAATTAAATTTGAACCGTTTTCGTTTTTTGTTTTGATTTTGAAATTTTTATTTTTTTTGTATTTGTTTACACAATTTTTTTTTTCCTTTTCATCACGTTCTTCTTATTTCTACCAACAACAACACCAGCTGTTACGTCGATCTAGATGGATAACAAGGTATTAGATCAGAAACTAGTATCTTATCTAGCTTCTAATTCAATAGCTATACCATTATCACCAAGTAAATCAACAAATATCCCCAAATATGACATTAAATCATTGGAATCCTCGTGTATTTCATCATTATCTAGTTTATTTTCATCAAATATTCAATTAGATACTTTTGACTCTATTCAATTAAGATTACAAGGTTTATATTTGATTTATAATAATGATAGGAATAAATTTATTGGAATATTAAGAAAACATCAATTGTTTAATTGTTAAATTATTTGAATTGAAACAAATCAATGTTGTTTTTAATCAATTGAAAATTTTATCCTTGCAAATTAAAAAAAATGTTTGGTATTGTTGATCTTGATGATGAGGAAGATGATGGTAGTGGTATTTATAAAGGTATTCCTGTGATTAATACCGATAACGATGAAATTATTCAACTTGTTGTGGCTTATCATTTCTTATTATTACAATGTATTGCTCAATATAGTTCAAAAAACTTGAAATCTATCGTAACTAGATCTGATCCATTTATTGATTTGAAAACTTTTCAAAACATCCCAAGGTTATTTTTGAAGTCGAGTAATATTAGAAGATGGCAACTGTTGACTAATAAAGATGATAAGAAATTCAATGGTAATACAATTAAATTGCTTCAAGGATTTATAAGATTATTTGAAGGGATTAAGACTCATAAATATCAAATACTAGCAAATTGTTTAAAGATAAAACTTGTGGAATTTACTAAAGACAAATCATTGTTGAAATCAATTGGTGAATGCTCTGAATTATTGCCATTTATAAATGATTCAGATCCTGAGATTTGTCAATTGTTTACAAAACCAAATGATTCCTTACGTGTGATGGATAATGAATTACATATGAAATTACTGAGATCACCTCCTGATCTAATAAATGATGTTGAATTTTTAAAATCATTGAAATCATTGTCATTATCTTATAATTCATGCGGTGCAATAATTCAATATTTCAATGATTCCAAAGATGAAATTAAACAATTACTGAATTTGCAATTATCTATTCTTGATTCAATAACTATATTTATCAAAAATTCATTGTCTCAACAAATGGTTCCTTTATTATCTCAACTGTTTATTGTCTATAATCATTTCAAACAGCTGAAAAGAATGAGAAATCTATCTAATTTATTATACAATTTGGGGAATAAATTACAGAATAATGACTATTGGAATTTATCAATTGAGTATGAATGTGACATTATGGATATTTTACCTACTGATGATAATTTCAAATGTTTATTTAGCAAATTGGGTAAACCAGTGATGAAAGAATCAACATTTGTTAAATTTTTACAAGCATTGGAGAAGTATGATAAATTAGATAAACTGATTATTCAATTTATCAGTAAGTCATTATTAACCAATCCAGAGCTTCTGTTGAATAATATAACTGATGAATTCAAATGTGAATTAGTCTTGGAGATTTTCAAAACTTTGGAAAAGACTACCAACACAATGCAAAAGACATTAATTTGCAATTCAATAATTTCTAGTCTTGAATGGACAAATCAAGAATTGGAATGCAAAGTGCTATATTCTTATTATAATATAAATGGGTTGGATAATTATCTAGATTTAGATATTAAAGATTCAAAGAATTCTTTACTTATTTCTGGATTTCAATTTCAAAAGTTGGTTAATTTTCAATGGAACCAAGTTATATTCAAACAATGTTTGGATTATTTTGAATCATGGTTGGCCAATAGTAATACAACTGATATTACTCCATTTGAATGGGAAATTTCTAAACAGGTTTTATTATATGTTAAGTTCAATGGAGTTACTGGGTGGTTGGTTAGAATTATTGAATTATTTCTTGAAGTTAAGTCAACTATCCCGATTGAATATCAATTTTTTTTAAAATTTGAGTATTGTAATGGATTATTGAAATTATCTCAGGAATCCAAATTATCGACTGTATTGTTGGAATTTAATCAAGTTGCTAAATCTTGGAAATCAATCAGTGACGTTTTGAAACTAAGTCTATTACAATTTGATTATTATATTCAAACAAACAATCTTACTAAATCAAAAGAAAGATACACAGGCATTTTAACCACATTGAAAAGAAAACCAGAGTTTAATATGGCTACATCAAGTGAGTTACCTTTAATTCAAAAGTTTAATAATTTCTTAATAATTGGAAAATTTCAATTGTTATCAAGTAAATTGAATCAAAAATTGCATAAACCAATTGATGCATATGTTAATGTTAAGACAAGTATTCAAATATTATATTCAATTCTTAAGAAATGTCCAAATAATGTATTGAGATCATCAAGTCAAGAATTAATTTGGGAAATTTATCAATTATTATCAGATTCTTATAAATTTATAATTGAATTATCAATTGAGTTGGGGATTTCAAGAAATATCCCATTTTATTTACATGAATGGGAAAAATTACTCGATGGAGTTGAAAATCCTATTGTTAATTGTATTCACTATACTGATATTGGAAATTATGGATCAAGAATGAATTCTGATGAGTTTGTTGAATGTATTCAAAAGGCTCAAGAATGCTCACGTATCAGTAAAGAGTATCATGAAATGGACAATGCCAACGGGTTTAAAGATACTTTGATTACTTGTATGAAACAAGAACTTGCTAATTGTATAGAGGATATTTCTTCCATTACATCTTTACATAACTTGACTGATTCAGTACAATTTCTTCCTGGATTACTTGGAGAAAGCAATGCACCATGTCCAAAGGAAATACTTGATAGATTAGTTGGTTTGAAAAATCAAATAATTCAAGAATTGTCTCAGTCAAATTTACCATTACCTAAGGGACAAAGACTTGTTTATATTCTTAATCAAACAGTATCTATCTTGTCATCATTAGCATCATTTAAAGGTGGTGATTTATTATCTGAACTTTATTATTTACAAGATCAAATTAAAAATTATCCATTTGCTAATGACTATAAAATCATGAAATATTCTAATAAGAAAGATTTATTACCAATTAATATTCCAAATGATGTACAGAAAAATATGCTTGATTTTAATGTTGATTTACTGGTTAATTTACCTCGTAATTGGATTATTGTCACATTGGATATTTGTCAACAAACCGGTGATTTATTACTTTCAAAAAGAACTAAAGATTCTAATCCTGTTTTCATTAGATTACCTTTGAACAGATTTAAGAATGGTGTATCGCCTATGAATTTTGAAACTATGAAGAAAGAATTGGAAAATATCATTGAAGAAAGTAACTTGTCTACCAAAAAAGCCACCACTTCCAAGATTATAACTGTTGAAGATAGAAAACAATGGTGGAGATCAAGATTTACTTTAGATTATGAATTACAGGATATTTTAAATCATGTTGAACAATATTGGATTGGTGGATTTGTTGGAATCTTTGAAAATTATCAACAAGATAATGTATTCCTTAAATTTAAACAAGATTTCATTAAAATTTTAAAATCTTGTATTTCAAAACAAGATAAATCAATTGAGTTTAATGATGAAATAATTAAATGTATTTTTGCCATGAATGAATATAATAGAGAATCAATTGATGATTTAGCACAATATTTAATTAATTCATTGAAATTCCATGGCTATTTAATTGATCAATTCAAATTTGATAAATTTCACGAATTTATGAAATCATTAATCGATAAATATAAAGGATTAAAATTTAAATCATCATCAAATCAACATATTGTTTTAATACCAAGTTCCAAATGTTTATTCTTTCCATGGGAATCATTAAATTTTTTGAAAAATAAATCAATTTCAAGAATGCCATCAGTTTCAATGTTGATTGATAGATTAAATTCATCAAATGATTTGAAAATTGATACTAGAGAATTGTATTATTTAATTAATCCATCAGGAGATCTTAAAAGAACAGAAGAAAGATTTCGAAATTATTTTATCAAAAATTCATATTGGAAAGGTATTATTGGTGAAAAACCAAATGAAGATAAAATCATTCAAGATATTTTAAAAAATAATTTATTTATTTATATTGGTCATGGAGGTTGTGATCAATATATTAAAGTAAACAATTTATTTAAATCATGTAATTCAAATGAAATTTCATTACCACCAAGTTTATTATTAGGTTGTTCATCAGGGAAATTAGAAGATAATGGAGAATTTGAACCCCTGGGGAATATATTTAATTGGTTAACTTGTAAATCATCAATGATTTTAGTTAACTTATGGGATGTTACAGATAAAGATATTGATAAATTTACAATTTCATTATTTGAAAATTGGGGATTAATTGAATCAACTAATAATATTGAAAAAGGTCAAGATTTTACAAATTCAATAATTAAAAGTAGATATAAATGTACTTTGAAAAATTTAAATGGTTCTGCTCCAATTGTTTATGGATTACCTTTAATATTAAATTAGAATCATTATATATATATAGATTTCATAGAGTAAAATTTGATTATTCTTTCTACAACGAAACCCAATCAATTAATAAACACACAAGCATATATATATATATATTAAAATTCTATACTAACAATGGTGAAAAATGCTAGAATATTGTACCTTTTCAAACAACAGAAAAGGCATAAGTTAGTAAACAAATTACTATAACACTCCACCATAATTGACTTCACACCATTATATCTTGCAATACCTTTAAATGAAAAAGTCAACTTGGGGAGGAAATAGTAATCCACTATAATAATAACCGTCCAAACAAAGAGTGACACACCATATTCCCTCTAACAAAAATCAAATCTGGGATGCTCTAAGAGGTCAAATACTCTAGTATACACTTCTTACCAACTTATTGTACAGATGATCAAAACTTAATATAAATTAATAAGAGTAGGAAAAGAAAAAAAAAAAAGGATTGCTCAATCATGCGATGAATACACGATGGTTCAGACACGATAATAATTCGACCAATCATACTCATCACATGATATTAAGAAAGTTAAACCTTTATTATTGAAATAGATTAATGGTAGTGATGTACCTATGTTATCACAATTCTCTAGCTCATCAACTTTGATAAAGACTGAACTATCAGTATCCTATAGTAACTCTCAACATTGTTGATTTTTCCTTAGGTTTATGTACGAATATCTTCTCAAATACACCAATTTGAATAAATCATATATCAGAAACCTGTTGATGTTCATACTTCACAAATTATAATTAACCACCTTCAATATGCATCATTGACTTACCGATTTAGTATCAACTCCGCTTTGTCTTATAATTATCGTCATCAAATTATTATTTGAGATTTAACATAGGCAGGAAATTCCGGATTCCAAAAATTGGCACTAATTGGCGGTATGTCCGAGTGGTTAAGGAGAAAGACTTGAATCTATTAAGATATCTTTTGGGCTCTGCCCGCGCAGGTTCGAGTCCTGCTGCCGTCGTTATTTTTTTTAAAATTTCTTGAGTCTGATTTTTTTTTTGTTTTTTTTTTGCAACTTTTCACATAAACTCATTCATTAAACATAGTCTTTAAACTAGTATTAATTATTTATTGTATTAACCTTCTATAAAATCAATCAAATCATCTAATACTGCCACGGTTTCTCTTGGATTAGCTATCCAAACAGTACATGCACTTAATCTAGCTTTAAAATCATTAGCACCTAAACTGGCAAATTGATCACCAATATGCAAACTTTCAGCTTTTGAAATTGGACAAACATCTGATGTTTCATCATGACAAATATATTTTTGTAAAGATTCAACTCCCAATGCTTTATCACCAATATCTACCCAAACATCTGAACCTCCATTAAATGCACAAACTTTAATTTCATCTGTTTGACAAAGCGCTTCTGTTGAAGTAGCAAAATTTTGTGATGAATCAAGAATAGTATTTAATTTAACTGAACATGATAAAACCATTTCTTCCAATTGCTCTCTTAATATCCTACAACCCGAATTAGGAATAATACCAACTGATCTTTCTTTTTTAATAATTGTTGTTGAATCTTCTAAATTGAAATTACTTCTTAAATAAACCAAATGTTTATGAAGGGTATCCATTATATAATTAACTTTTGAAGGATTCCAATTTCTAACTTGTGGTAAAAACCATTCATCACCATCAATATATCTTAATCCTTTCATTTCATTATCATATCTGAATAAATAATTTGATTCTGCTCCCATAACAAAGAAATTTTCTTTTTGATGAGTTTTCAAAGTACAATTTTCACTATTTAAATGATCAATTAATCCTTTAAATCTTTCATAATATTTCTCTGCTCCACTTTGTCTTGGATATCCAGCAGCCGTAACAACACCAACGTATAAACCTAAACTTAACAATTTAATTAATCTATGAACCACTGAACTATTTTCATCCAATGATTTCCCATCATCATATAATGTCACATCACCATCAAATGTAACTAATTTTAATCTGGCTCCTTTATTTTGTTTATAAATACTAGTTAATGCTAAAATTTGAGCAGTATTTAAAATCATTCTAACATCATTAAATGAAGGACTAACTAGTCTTCTTTTTGAAATTGCTCTTCTTTCATCTTCTAATAAAAATGCATCTGCCAAAGGTAAAGGAGTGAAGAATCTTCCAATTGAAGGAACTAATTTTCTTAACCTACTATGAATTTGTTTCCTACCTGGTTCTTCATTTAATTCATCAAAAAATATAGTTTGTTGAACTAACATTTCAACATCTTTAAAAATCTCCAAATACCTTTTTTGACAATCTTCAGCAACTAATTGTGCATCTGCATGGGAATCATCTGCATGTAATACAAATGGTGTAGCCAATAATCCTTTAATCCATTCAATGAATTCATCTCGACGATGACTTTTCAATGCATATTCAACTCTATACCTTGATGTCATGATTCAACGGGGGAGAGAGAGTAGAAAGAAGAATTAAGATCTAAATCAAACAAAAAATAATATCTGTATCAATGGGGGAAACAAATGAAGAATTGAACAAAATAAAAAAGTAACGGAAACTGAGTTGGACCAAATAATTGAATTGAAAGCTGTTAATAACTCAAGACTATCTTCTAATATCAATTATAGTTAATATAAATCTAATAAGTCCAATGGTGTCCAAAAAGAGTTGTTGTAGAATATAATTTTTTTTTCTTTGAAGAGTTGAAATCGACAATCGTTAATGTTGACACTGCTTCTCCTCCTCCTCCTCCTCCTCCTCACCACACGTCCAACTTTTTTTTCGTTGTTTCCCACAAGTTCCATTTTTTCGTTCTATGCGTTTCGGATTAACTACGTCATGAATTTACGTAGCAACTTTAAACCACAAATGACAATATAACCTCAAGGTTACAAATCGTCACAGTTGTATCAAACAGACAGCAAAGCCATTTACAAATCTTAAACCCACGTTTTCAATGATCAATAAATCGAATTCATCTACAATATTTTCTTTAAGGCTATTTGCACCCAAATTTATAAAAATTTTATTGTTTGAATAATAAACCCCCAAAAAAATTAAATAAAAGAAAAAAATTAAACTTTCTTTCTATTAAGAACTATACAAAGATTGATTTAAAGAACTTATAAACCTTGTTGAGCTCTTCTTCTGTCTCTTTCTTCAGAAATAGACAATTTGATACCTTTACCTTTTGGCAAGGAAACCCATGGTTTACCAGCTTCAGTACCGATAACAAAAACGTTAGACAATCTGGTAACGAAAGTGTTTTCCAAAGCATCTTTGATGTGGACCAAATCGAAACCTCCTTCGTGTTTTTCTCTGTGGACGATAACACCAACTCTACCCAAGTTTCTACCACCAGTAACCATAACTAATCTACCAGTGTCGAATTTGATAAAGTCATCAATTTTACCAGTAGCCAAATCAATTTTAACGGTATCGTTAGCCTTGATCAATGGATCTGGGTATCTGAGGGTTCTACCATCGTGGGTGACAACGTATGGAACACCTTTTTTACCTAATTGAACCTTCTTGACTTTACCTAATTTGTAAGAAGCTTCTTCAGCAGAAATTCTGTGAACAGCGAATTTACCTTTAACATCGTAAATCAATCTGAAGTGTTCGTTGGTAGCTTCCAAGGTAATGACATCCATGAAACCAGCTGGGTAAGTAGAATCAGTTCTAACTTTACCATCAACTTGAACGTGTTGTTGCATCATGATGGCTTTAACTTCTCTACCGTTCAAGGCATACTTTAATCTGTTTCTCAAGAAAACAACCAATGGTAAAGATTCTCTCAACTTGTGTGGACCAGCAGATGGTCTTGGAGCGTAAGTACCGGACAATTTGTCCAACATCCAGTGGGATGGAGCTGCTAATCTTTTCAAATGCTTCTTTCTATAATATGATGTTAGTTAATTGTTCTATTAGAAACGAAAGGTATGTATGTGTGTGAGAGTTTAGAAGAAAAGTCTACGTCGCAAATTCAATAGTTTTAAATAATTAGTAACAAAAGAACTATGCATATAGTATCAATTGAACTATCTTTTTTTTAAAACACATGAATCACGACAAGGCTCCCTTCCAAGTTGATTTCTCAACTGGTATACCATGGATATAAATATCCATGGGTTTAAGGTTTAATGTTTCCCAGCCCAATAAAATTAATTATTGGTGTACTCCATTAATTCTCTCACACAAACAACCAATCTAAATTAGTTGTGAGTAAAAGAACATACGGGCCTCTTGCCATTTTCGGTGATATGTGATGTGAAGAAAAGAAAAAGAAAAGGGGAAAACTCAAATGAAAAATTTTAATGAAGATGGATTTTTTTTTATACTGATTGAAAGAATGAGGAGGATTGTATTTGTGCGTGCGTGCAGAGGGAAGAGCATGAGAAAAAAAAGTACAACAGAAAACCTCATTTTTCTATTGAAACAAAAAAACATCAAAGTTAGGGCTATAACCCTAAAATGCGACTCTCTTTAATATAATTTTACAACCAATTATCAAATATGTTACAAACGATGGTGGAATATATTCTTAAACATCTATACACTGTGGAAACAAAATACAATATAACCAGATATCAAATATCCACTGCAATCATCTTCAACATCATCTGCAACTATTCTTATAATTTTCAACCTTTTTTTTTCATTTTTTTTTCTTATATTTTTACTTTGTCTGTGAATGAATTCAACAGTTTCAGGTAGGGGAGGATTTGAAACCAAATATAAAAATAAATAAATAAATAAGTAAAGACCCTCTCTCTAAATAGTAAGCTTAAACTCCAAAAGTGCTGTGTGTGCAAAATAATAATGACCAAATAATATCAAACTGGATGAAATAAAAATAAGTACCAACCTCTGCCTACCTTGGGAAAACCTGTATTCTTTCAAATAAAATATTTCTAAATTGTCTTGTTCAAGACATCTTATTCACCATCATCATCAAAATCATTAATTAAATCAAATGAATTTCTTTGGTTGACCATACATAGCACCACCAACTTGAGATACTTTATCTTCAATTTCGCCGTCATTGGAAATAATCAATCTTTCTAATCTTGATCTTCTAGCAACTTTAGCAACTTCAGCACCAGTCATGACTTTAATCCAATCAACTTTTAAAGAGAAAGGACCGTATTGTTTATCTAATAAACCAATACCAACAGATTTAACCTCACTTTTATTTAATTCACTACCATCTTGAATGACACCCCAATTAGTCATGACAAAATCATCTAATGGAATAACAACAGTTTCCCATTGACCTGGGTGATGTAAAAATAATCTATGTTGGAATAAATCAGTAACTAAAGGAGTATTTGCTTGAATATTAACTAAATATTTTCTTCTATCACCTTTAACTCTTAAAACCAAGGATGAATAATTTGTCCAATCCCAATAAGAATCACCAAAAAGCCAAGAATCCTTTTGATCTTTAGTTCTAAACATGGCATAACCTGATCTGGTTACTTCTGGATTATCTTTTGGTAAATCTAAACTTAAAGTACCATGAAAGTGTCCACATTTTTCTTGATGATCAATATCAAAATTTGCAGTTGAATAACCACCCAATTCTTGATCTGATCTTGTCAACACCATACTTGATGATTCTTCAGGATATTTTTTAAAGTTGAGTACGGATTGTACAGGTCTTGTCAATTCTGCTTGCTTAGCAAATAAACCTTTAGTTGCACTCAATCCCAAAGCTTTTAATGACATTTTGATATACTAAATGGATGTGGAGGGTAAATATTAATAAAAGTTAACGTGGATAGTAGTTTTTGAATAAATATAATAGGCGTGATATATAGATGACAAATGTAGCTGTTATCTATTTGATTATGAATGGATATGACGATAAGATAAATAAATATATATATAAAAAAGAAACAATAGCTTCAATTTGCAAAACAAAAAAAATTAAAAGATTATCAAATCAAGTTGAAGAAGGAGATATTGATGATTATTTATATATTGCAAAATAAAGGGGGAATGATTGTTTGAATAAATGATCTCACTTTTTTTTTTCTTCTTCTCTTTCACTGTGGGTGTGATTAGTTAAAGGGGATTAAAAATTTTTGTCATTTTGTCAAATAATTCAAAAAATAAAGTGCGGGTAGTGTACCCGTGGCAGACAATGACAATTGCAAAAAAATATTAACCCACATTTCGGAGTATGTATCTACAGTAAATGATTGTCATATTCATACACCCCTAAATAGCAAAACCCAAAAACTAAAAACTAAAAAAAAAAAAAAATCATTGTACTGATAAGACTACTTGTGTAATAATCGTAAAGAATTGAAAGCAATTTATCAAAATAATTCATCCAAATATCCATGTGGAGAACTGAACCTGAATAATAGAAGATGTGTTGCATAAAAGAATATTAACATAACTTACTTTTTAATCAACTACACCACATTACTCACTAATCAAATATCCACACTGTTGTTGTTGTTGTTGTTGTTTTTTCTGAATTATACTAAATTCTGTAGGCCCGGAACCTTATCAGTTAATCACAAAAACAAGAAAAATATCCCCGTTGATTCTTTCCTAAAAAAGATCAAGACCCACCCTCTCCACGAGTGGGTGTACCACATGTACATCATTAGTAGATGGACGGACATGCAAGTCTAGATTTTTATAAAGATTATTATTATTATTATTATCTATCTATGAAATTTCGGGCTATGAAAATTACTCATATGAAAATAAAAACGCCATGTTTGATTATCCGGATTGTCCTCCCAATAATGTCAATAACAATGAATAGAAATAAAAAAAAAATTGCGGGTTAATCAACATAACGTGAATGACGTAACATTCATCAAAAGGAATCAGAGAAAGAGTGTGGATTGAAAAGAAAAAGGGGGTGGGTGAGTCAATTGAATATGTAAAGATTATTAAGCAGAACAATAATAATAACAATAAAGAAAAGCCATTATCTGTATTCCACTCTAGAACAGTTATATTTTTGACCAAATAAACTAAACCATTGGTTGAAGTTGATTTGAAGAAGGTTTTAGAATTATTTTTGGGAACGATATTGTGATTGCAAGAGGGGAACCATCTTATTACTGCGAAAGAAGGTATACCTCCGATTGTTAATTATGCAAGTTGCATTGTACTGTATATGTATAGCCTTCTTCCACTGCTACATATCTTCTCCTCCTTTGTATTAGTTTTTTTTTGATGGAGGGGATTTGAATTATCAAGTCCCATTGAAAAATTTGCCAATTAAAGGAAACCACTATAATGGTAGTAAATTATTGACTTTACAATTTTAGATTCTCTTATTCTAAATAAGACTACTTACATATAGATTGGAATAGAGGAGATACATAGATAAAGAGTGAGCGATAAATATTCCCTTTCGGTAGCAGTTTACTAATTGGCAGGAGTAGCCATACATTACTGGCTAAAATTCCATTCCATTCCACTCCCCTCTTCCATTAACAAAAAAACTATATTAAATCAATCCAATGATAATTTGGAAATTTTAATCTTAATTGTTTTTTTTTTTTTTCTTTAAACGATTCAATCATGTAGCAATCAAATATCTTACTCCCCCAACAATATTTATGAAACCTGATTTTCTTTTACTCTTCTCCTCTTTATGTCTCTTTCTCCAATCAGCTCTCCTCATCTTTTGGATATCGTTGCTCTTGTGATATATCTGTCAATTATAAATTTACATGACTTGATTCTTTGTTGGATCTACTAATCACTCTGCTAACCCGCAAATATTGTTTGAAATTTTTGTGGTTAATGGATAATTATTCTTTATTATTAATTTAGATTCGTGTATTTGCAATAATAGAATTTTACTCTTTTCTTATCGTATAACATGTACAATTCATAACACAAAGAAAACTCCGACATTCACTATCTGCCTCCCCACATTTCAATTTCAAGTTCAATTTGAGACAAGACAACCAACCGCCGGGTACTTGATTCCCGCTCCGTCAACCACCAGGATACGGACTTATCAAAAAAGAACTCACCGCCGTCCCCACCACCACAAGTATCATATACACTATAGTTTTTCTACTTCTTTTCAATTACTCCTATTACTAAGTTTGTGCAGATAAAATTTTGATATTTCCTTTACATGAAACACAGTTGATCAAATCTGGCGATTTATACATATAGAAATAATAAGTCCAAACAATGAAGATTACAAATGTATAAAAAAGTGGTGTTATTTTCACATTTATCAACAGCTCACCAAAGATTCAATACGTGTGAGCTCTCCTAAAAACAAAAATCATGCCAGAATATTGTCTACATGATGCTCCTGTGATTATTATTATACTCATAGGAACTTACCCGAGGTTGTATCTAGCCCAATAATAAAAGTGTAATGACAGAACTCAATTTGGAAAGAAACTCAAATTAGGTGATTTTGGTTTTGACTTAGGTTGTCAATTTTGTTTTTGTCTTTTCCCTGTTTTACTGCCCCTTTCGTATTTTCATTTTTGATTTTAACAAATTGAACATCAGGTTAGTATAAAATAAAAAGTATACAAACTTGTCAATTTCTGTTTCATGACTTTTTATTAATAGGAAAAAACAAATCTCTTTCCATCATACTTTACTCACCATTCCATGGAATAGCAAATCTTCAACAATTAGTTTTGCCATTAACGTTTGATTCATACAGCATTGCCTCCTCCTTTGAGTTTGTTGAATTTTTTTTTTCCTTCTTTAGTTACACCTATTATTTGCTGTCTACTTTAAATTAGCACGTGAAAAAAAAAAATATTAACGATGGGTCCACATAAATAAGAAGACAAAACATACTTGAAGGGCTTTAAATTTTTCTTTATCTCGACATTAGCCTTAGTTTTTTTTTGTTGTATCAAGCAGTCATAATGCCATTTGTCAACAAGAGTAATTTTTTCAAGCCAGAGAGTGCTCCATTCTACAATCCAAAAGATCAGAGAAAAGTAGCTTTAATTACCGGTGGTAATTCAGGTATTGGTTGGTTTACTGCCCTTCATTTGTACTTGCATGGCTATATTGTTTACGTGGCTGGTAGAACCGAATCAAAAGTATTGAAAGCTATTGAAGATATTAAAGTTGAAGCGGAAAAGAGAAAAGGTAGTAATCCTACTGGTGAATTAAACTATATTCACATTGATTTAACGGACCTTTCTACTGTCCCTAAAGCAGTCGATCAATTTTCTGAAAAGGAACAATCTTTGGATATTTTAATCAACAATGCCGGGTTGATGGGTGTTCCATATGAAGTTACAAAAGATGATTATGAAATCCAATATCAAGTTAATTTTGTTTCTCATTTCTTGTTAACTATGAAATTAATACCATTTTTAGAAAATGCAGCCGAAAAAGGTGTTACACCAAGAATTGTCAATTTGGCTTCAGTTGGTCATAACTTTGAATTCAAACATATTCCTCCAGAAAAGAATAAATTGAACAACTTTCCAAATAGTATCTACACTTGGGTTAGATATGGACTTGCCAAAACTTCACAAATCCAATTTGCTAAAGAATTGGCTGTCAAGTATCCAACAATTTTAAGTTTATCTGTTCATCCTGGTGTTATTCTTGGTACTGAGTTGTATAATTATTGGAAGAATTTACCAGTTATTGGATTGGCTGCTAAAGGTGTTTTTGCTGCAGCTGATAAAACCATTGGTGTTTCTGTTGAAGAAGGGTCTTTGGCTAGTTTAAGGGCTGCATTAGATCCAAGCTTGACATTAAAAGAAAATGGATCTTATTTTACCACTGGTGGTACTATTGATAATCCAAGTAAGATTGCATCTAATCCAGAATATGCTAAAGAAACATGGACTTGGAATATTGAACAATTAAAGAAACGTGGTTTCTTAGTCTAATGCAAGACATTATTGATATTTATATTTATATACATTTGAGACACAGAGAGAGAGAGACTTTATATTGTTATATTTTTTTTTTGTTATTTATTTATGTTGAATAGACAATTGTGTGTGTGTGTGTTAGTTGTAGTTTTTTCTTTATCTTATCGTGATGTTAAATCGATAACGAGGATTGTGACATTGCGCACGACTCCCCACATGTACACGCCCATACGCACAGTCATTCAATAATAGTTGAAGTGAAATGAAATAATGTGATGGGGGTTGTTGTTGTAAACTACGGGAAAGAAAGAACGACAGATTATGTAATCTGCCTCTCTTCTCTCTCTTTATCACCCCCTTATTCTCTCATACTGTCATTATTAATTCAAAGTTATCTAACGCTATTTAATTAATTAAATACAGTACACACACTCATAATCATACTCATACTCATACTCATTAACACAAGCAAGTCTTGTTTTTTTTTTTTTCTTTTTTTGCCACATTGAATTATTGTTACACTAGTTACCGTTTGTCTATCTATCTATCTAATTATTATTATCTATTATCTATATACCCGGTATCAAGAATTTGCAGAAGGACTTGCGGACAGATTCACAGACAGACTGACAGACAGAGAAAAAGATTAATTTACTGTTGCCTTTTTCTTACATTTTTACCTTTTTCTGTTTTCAAATTATCAACTTATCCAATTATTTAGATTATGGGATTTGTATCAACATTAAGGTATGTTCTTCTAATATTACTGCTCTCCACATGATGAATGGTCACAATACCCCACATGGTGATGACTAGTAAATATTTCTACAAGATGCAAAAGTACTAACGATTTATTGATTTGATGATAGTGTATTGGTTGCAATTGTATACCCAGTTATTGCTTCTTGTAGAGCATTTGAAGATTACGCCAGAGTAAGTAATTCAATTGCTTCTCAAAATTTAAAGATTGCTGGTTTTACTGTGCCATTGAATTATTTTTATAAATCTGAAGGTAAAGATGTTTCAAGAATTAATGAGAATGATGAAAGAGCATTGCAAATTCATTTAATATCTATTCAGAAATGGTTTATTTATTGGATTGTTATTGGTGTTGTATCATTATTTGAAAATGTCTTGTTTCTTAAATATATTATTCCTGGTTATTCCTTACTTAGATTAGGTTTCAATATTTGGTTAATTGTTCCAATGATTTCTATTCAAAAAGATGTGGATGCTAATTCAACTTTTGATAATACTGTAGAATGGAGGAAATTCACTTCAAATGGTGCAGGATTAATTTATTTTGGTTACATCAAACCATGGATTGAACAACATATGGAAACAATTAAAAAGTATTCCAATAACCCAATTGACGTTTTACAATCAGTTGGTGGTTTAAACAGTTTTTTCAATAAGAATTCCAATACTGGATCACCATCTGAATCAAGTACTGTTTCTAGTGATTATTCAAATGTGATTGATTCATTTGTAATGGTTATGAATATGAAGAATAAATGGACAGGTACCAGTGGATCTCCATCTAATCTGGAAGAAATCGAAACTAATGACGAAATTCCTGAAACTAAGGAAATCAATGAATCTAAATTAAATGATGAATTTGATGTCGTGGATGGTACAGTTGATCCAAATGCTCAAGTTACTAAAAGAAGAGGATTTTTTTGGTGATTTAAACTGGCTTTAGTTTCATATGGATTTAAATGGTTTGGTTTTAGTTCGTTCTCATATCGGCTCTTAGAGATGTTTATTATGTTTTTTTATCTTTATCTTTATCTTTACCTTTATCGTTATTGTTATTATTTTATTATTATTATTAATTTTTGATTCATTATCATCGGGGGTTATCTTCTTTTTTATATATGTATATTGTACTGAATAGCTTTGGTTTTTGGTCTTTTACTTGTATTTTCTTTATAATATATATACACACACATTTATTTAGTGTACTTGTTTATTATTGGACGTTTACTATTTACAGTATTTTAAATAAGAATAAGGCTGATAAGGGTTTCTTAGAAACAGATTTATAAACCCAAAAACTTCTCAAGTTGTTGTCTATCATCTTTAGTACTTGCGAGTTTACCAAATGATTTAATAACTTTACTACCTTGACGTTTAACTTGACCTGGAATAAATCTTTGTGGGACAACTTTTTCAGCATACATACCATCATAAACATCTAATGGTTTCTTCAAATCAGAACCGCTTGCAACATTATGTTGAACAATCTTTTCACTACCTGCTCTTTGAGCTCTAACTTGTTCGATCTTTTCTTTTGGAACTTCTGGCCAAATAAATGGTTCAACCATATCAACAGTCATTTTCTTAAGTTGAGGAATTCTATAACGAGCATTATCAAAGGCACCTCTAGCCCATTTAGCAGGTAATAATTGAACAGTAACGTTTAATGCTCTTAATCCATATATATTCCATAAATAATCTCTTAAATCCATTTTATTCATACTTTTAGGAACTAAAAATTTAGCTTGATATGGAGTATGTTTAGCATTTGGTCTTAATAAACAAATTCTACCTTGTGGGAAATAAATTTTATTACCACCAATTTTAAAATGTGGTTCTTCTAATTCTAATTGTTGTTGAAATGTTTCAAATTGTTCAAGAGCCTTTTCTGAATCCATTTGACTCATAAATCTATTAGGTATTCTTTTACCTGCTTCGATATATTGTTTAGCTAATTCAACATTTGGAAATAATGTTTTAGTTGGTGCTTGAGCAATGATTGGTTCTCTTTGTCTTCTAAAACCATATTTTGGTGGATTCAAATCAACATCTTCAATATTAACTTTTGGGTATCTTTCAGGACGCAATGGTTTATGACGTAATGATCTAGTAAAGTTCTTAAACACAGAACCCACAACTGTACGACTATTGAACTCCATGATGTTTATTGACAATAATGATAGATTGATTGATTTTGAGGATTGTGTGGGATTATGAGATTGGGTTTCGAAAAAATTTTCAGAATGTTTCTAAGTAAAAATGGATGGTCGTGCAAGTTGGCTGAATCCGTCTGAAAAAATGGTGAATTTTTTTTTTTTACAACGAACAAAACAAAACAGAGAGAAGACAACCAAAGAGAACGAAAAAAAAATCATTGAACAAAATTAATACAGTATTTGATTATTTTGCCTTTGGAATAACAATCATATATTCATAGTCATACTCATCATCATCATAAATCTACCACTATGTCTGCTGACGAATCTATGGTTGATCCATATGGATATGATGAAGAAATTGAAACTATCACTCAAGAAGATTGTTGGACTGTGATTTCATCATTTTTCCAAGAGAAAGGTTTAGTATCTCAACAACTTGATTCCTTTGATGAATTTGTTGAAACTAGTATTCAAGAATTAGTTTGGGAAGATTCACATTTAATTTTGGATCAACCAGCACAACATACTTCAGTAGCTGATCATAAAAACAAACGTTATGAAATTGAATTTGGGAAAATTTATATTTCTAAAACATCCCAAACTGAAGGTGATGGTACTACTCATTCTGTGTTCCCACAAGAAGCAAGACTTCGTAATTTAACTTATTCATCCCCTTTATATGTTGATATGACAAAAAGAAAATTTGAATCTGATGACAATAAAAGAAAAGATAATGAATTAGAATGGGAAGAAATTGAAGTTGATGATAAAGAAGGACCACAAAGTAAAGTTTTCTTGGGTAAAGTTCCTATTATGTTAAGATCTAAATTTTGTATGTTGAATGGTTTAGCAGAACATGAATTTTATGAATTAAAAGAATGTCCTTATGATATGGGTGGTTATTTTGTTATTAATGGTTCAGAAAAGGTTTTAATTGCTCAAGAAAGAAGTGCAGCCAATATTGTTCAAGTTTTCAAAAAAGCAGCCCCATCTCCTATTTCTCATGTTGCCGAGATTAGATCTGCACTTGAAAAGGGTTCAAGATTGATTTCTTCTATGCAAATTAAATTATACGGTAGGGATGAAAAGGGTGTTGCTGGAAGAACTATAAAAGCAACTTTACCATATATTAAAGAAGATATTCCAATAGTCATTGTGTTTAGAGCATTGGGTGTTGTTCCAGATGGTGATATTTTGGAACATATCTGTTATGATGCCAATGATTGGCAAATGTTGGAAATGTTGAAACCTTGTGTCGAAGAAGGTTTCGTTATTCAAGAGAGAGAAGTTGCCCTTGATTTCATTGGTAGAAGAGGTGTTTTGGGTATTAGAAGAGAAAAACGTATACAATATGCTAAGGATATTCTTCAGAAAGAATTATTACCAAATATCACCCAAGAAGAAGGGTTTGAAACCAGAAAGGCATTTTTCTTGGGTTACATGGTCAACAGATTATTATTGTGTGCATTGGAAAGAAAAGAACCAGATGATAGAGATCATTTTGGTAAAAAGAGATTGGATTTAGCTGGTCCATTGTTGGCTGGTTTGTTCCGTATTTTATTCAAAAAATTAACAAAAGATATTTACAACTATATGCAAAGATGTGTTGAAAATGACAGTGACTTCAATCTTACGTTGGCTGTTAAATCACAAACTATTACTGACGGTTTAAGATATTCTTTGGCTACTGGTAACTGGGGTGAACAAAGAAAAGCCATGAGTTCAAGAGCTGGTGTCTCCCAAGTTTTGAATCGTTATACTTACTCTTCTACATTGTCACATTTAAGAAGAACCAATACTCCAATTGGTAGGGATGGTAAGATTGCCAAACCTAGACAATTGCATAATACCCATTGGGGTTTGGTGTGTCCTGCAGAAACTCCCGAAGGTCAAGCGTGTGGTTTGGTTAAGAATTTATCATTGATGACTTGTATTTCTGTTGGGTCTTCATCCGAACCAATTTTGGGTTTCTTGAGAGATTTCGGTTTAGAAGTCTTGGAAGATTATGTTCCATCCAATGCTCCAGATTCCACTAGAATTTTCGTCAATGGTGTTTGGGTTGGTGTTCACAGAGATCCAGCACAATTGGTTGATTATGTTCGTGATCTTAGAAGAAGTGGTGATATTTCTCCAGAAGTTTCCATCATTAGAGATATTAGAGAAAAAGAATTTAAAATCTTTACCGATGCTGGTCGTGTTTACCGTCCACTTTTCATTGTTGATGATAATGAAGATTCTCCAACTAAAGGTGACTTGATGATTACCAAAGAACATATTAGAAAATTAGTTGCTGAAGATATGGATGATGATGAACTAGAGGAAGATGAAGAAGGAGGTGAATCTAGAAAATACACATGGTCTTCATTGGTGAGTGAAGGTATTGTTGAATATGTTGATGCTGAAGAAGAAGAAACTATAATGATTGCGATGAGTCCTGACGATGTCAAAGCATCCAAGAGTACCATGTCAGAAAGTGAACAACAAGAATTACAATTACAAGAACAAGAATTGGATCCAGCAAAGAGAATTAAACCAACCACAAGCAGTAATACTCACACATATACCCATTGTGAAATTCATCCTTCTATGATTTTGGGTGTTGCTGCTTCTATTATTCCATTCCCAGATCATAATCAATCACCACGTAATACTTATCAATCTGCTATGGGTAAGCAAGCTATGGGTGTTTTCTTGACCAATTATTCTGTGAGAATGGATACCATGGCCAATATCTTGTACTATCCACAAAAACCATTAGCCACCACTAGATCTATGGAGTACTTGAAATTCCGTGAACTTCCAGCTGGTCAAAATGCCGTTGTGGCAATTGCATGTTATTCGGGTTATAACCAAGAAGATTCTATGATTATGAATCAATCTTCAATTGATAGAGGTTTATTCAGATCATTGTTCTTTAGATCGTATATGGATTTGGAAAAGAGACAAGGTATGAAACTTCTTGAAACTTTTGAAAAACCTTCTAGATCAGATACTTTAAGATTAAAACATGGTACATATGAAAAATTGGATGAAGATGGTTTAATTGCACCTGGTATCAGAGTCAGTGGTGAAGATATCATTATTGGTAAAACTACTCCAATTCCTGCTGATACTGAAGAATTGGGTCAAAGAACACTTCATCATTCCAAGAGAGATGCGTCTACTCCATTAAGAAGTACAGAATCTGGTATTGTTGATCAAGTCTTGTTAACTACCAATGGTGATGGTTCTAAATTCGTCAAAGTTAGAATGAGAACAACCAAGATTCCGCAAATTGGTGATAAATTTGCTTCTAGACATGGTCAAAAGGGTACTATTGGGGTTACTTATAGACATGAAGATATGCCATTCAGTGCAGAAGGTATTGTCCCAGATTTGATTATCAACCCTCATGCTATTCCATCCCGTATGACAGTTGCGCATTTGATTGAATGTTTATTATCAAAAGTTTCATCCTTATCTGGTTTTGAAGGGGATGCCTCACCATTTACCGACGTTACCGCTGAAGCTATTGCCAAGTTGTTGAGAGAACACGGATACCAATCCAGAGGTTTTGAAGTGATGTATAATGGTCATACTGGTAAGAAGTTGATGGCCCAAGTTTTCTTTGGTCCTACTTATTATCAAAGATTGAGACATATGGTGGATGATAAGATCCATGCTAGAGCTAGAGGTCCAGTGCAAGTTTTGACAAGACAACCTGTTGAAGGTAGATCCAGAGATGGTGGTTTGCGTTTCGGTGAGATGGAGAGAGATTGTATGATTGCTCATGGTGCAGCTGGTTTCTTGAAAGAAAGATTGATGGAAGCTTCTGATGCATTTAGAGTACATGTTTGTGGAATGTGTGGTTTAATGTCTGTTATTGCAAATTTGAAGAAGAATCAATTTGAATGTCGTTCCTGTAAAAATAAAACCAATATTTATCAAATTCATATTCCATATGCTGCCAAATTATTATTCCAAGAATTGATGGCCATGAATATTTCTCCAAGATTATATACTGAAAGATCTGGGGTCAGTATACGTGTATAGAAACAGACAAGAAGATTATGTTTCAAAATCAACAACAACCAATCCCCCCAAAAAATTAACCAAAAACTGATTCAAAACGGAAAAAAAACAGATACAGCTTTTATATACTTACTTTTTATTGTACTTTTAATGTTAAATATAAAACGAAAAAAAAAGAACCAACATATTATTGGAAAGAAGATTTTAATTATAAAAATAACAGCTTTTCATTGATTTTTATTTCTATTTACATGAAATTATAAATATGATTCTTGATTTGAAGTATTTATTGTTGATGAGCCAAATATTTCTCTCTAAGTTCAGTTCTTTTCTTTTCATTCAATTCCAATTGTTGTGCTTTAAGTCTCATATCAGGGATTTCATCAGCAAAAGCAATCAAATTATCTTTATAAGGATGTTCATCACCATCAAAAACTTTAAGTCTATCCATTCTAACAAGTCTAAGTTTATTTTTTGGAATCATACCTTTAACAGCTCTTTTCAAAATTTCACCATAACCTTTATTAGCAATCATTCTTTCCATAGGAATAAGATTTAATGAACCTGGTCTGGTAGTATGACTCCAATATGTTTTTTCTTTTAATTTATTCCCAGTAACTTTAACATGTGCACAATTTGTAACTACTACATAATCCCCATGATCTCTATTTGCTGAATATGTTGGTTTATGTTTACCCATTAAGGTTAATGCTATACTTGATGCTAAACGACCTAAGGATCTTTCATCAGCAGCAACATCAACATGATGCCATACTCTTGTGAGTGCCAGAACACTAGTACCAATTCTTTGAGACATTGTTTAATAGTTAGTTAGTTGGTTGTTGATAATTGGTTTCTCATTCTTTTGAAAAATTTTCTATTTCTTATTTGATCATTTGAGAGTCGTGTGAATGGTGATAATATTAATGTAGTGGTCGTGTGAATTTAACAAAAATGTGATTTTTTTCTTTGATGAAATGAAAGAAATAGAAAAAAAAACATACAAACAAAATCGCCGATATATGAAAAACCTCAATTTTATTTAAGATCTTTATTCGTGGTGGTGGGGATTTAGAAATCATTGTCTTAATAAAATTGCATCAAATAGATATCACATTCTATTCAAATTTCCTTATTATTGACTTACTTGTATTATATTTAACTTAGTTTCTTTCCCATTTTTTTTTTCATATATATTTCATTTTGGTATTGGATTATCAAGAAAACAAAAACCAAAACAAAACGAAAGGATATTCAATTTTTCAATTCACTCATTCATTTTCACTAATTCATTATCATTAATTTCTATTTTATTTTTTTTTTTTTCATTTTCACATATACAATATAAATCATGTTTTTCTTAAAGGATTTATCATTAAATTTAACATTACATCCATCATTTTTTGGACCACAAATGGATCAATATTTAAGAGATAAACTATTAAGTGACGTAGAAGGTACATGTACGGGACAATTTGGTTATATTGTATGTGTTTTAGATTCACTGCATATTGATGTTGGTAAAGGTAGAATAATTCCAGGTACAGGTATGGCAGAATTTGAAGTTAAATATAGAGCAGTTGTTTGGAAACCTTTTAAAGGTGAAGTTGTTGATGCTGTTGTTCATACAGTTAATAAAATGGGATTTTTTGCTGATGTTGGTCCATTATCTGTTTTTGTTAGTACACATTTGATCCCTTCTGATATGAAATATAATTCTTCTGCTAATCCTCCTTCTTATTCAAGTAATGATGAACATATAGAAAAAGGTTCAAGAGTAAGATTAAAGATTGTTGGTACAAGAACTGACGTTAATGAAATTTATGCAATTGGAAGTATAAAAGAAGATTATTTAGGTCCAAGTCCAATGTAATGAAACTGATAAATACAATCTTCATTTATTAATATTATAAGTTGTTAAAATAAAAACAAAAAAAAAAAATTATTACACTACTTCAATATAAAAAGTGATACACACATATACATATACAATACAAAAAATAACAGTTCAGCAAAAATAAAAACATACATTAATGCAAATACACATTTGATTACGAGACTTATCTATCTAGAAAATCACAGAAATTTAAACATATCATTAGAAATTTTCTGTCTCTTTGTATTAAACCCCATTTCTAACGGGTTCTTTCTATTCTGACTGATGCCTGGATTTCTAAACTCTATCAATGGATCATGTGGACGTTGTTCTTGTTGTTGAATAGGCATTTCTATTGCTCGTTGTAAAGAATGATAATTTTCTTTATCATAACTGTGTCTTTCAAGCATGTCATTCATTTCTTTAATTGAATTTTGAATAGATTGTAATTCTCGATCAGATTCACTAAATTGATGATTCAATTCATTCATAAATGATTGTTTAATTTGTTCCTTATGTTTGTTTCTTCTTGCAACAAAACCTAATATATCCCGTTCATTTGTATACCCACGTAACATGGATTCAGTTTCTCTATTAAAATTGTCAAGTGCTTCATCTTTTTCCTTTTCAATAATACTAACCAACTGGGACAATTCTGAAAACTTTTCCTGTTTTAGTTTCTCATATTCGCTAATTTTATTTAATAATTCTGTCTTGTTCATAGACGATATATCGTTTGTAGCTGCAGCTGGTTGTTGAACAACCAAAGCAGTGCTAGAAGTATACGGTATCATCTGTGAATTGTACCCAGAAGAATATTGTGGTAAGAAACTTTGTTGTTGATGCATACCATTTCGACTTCCCAACCCCTCTTGGAACTGATGTTGTCGTTGTAATAACTCTTCTTCACGTCTTTGTAACTCTTTTTCTTTTTCCAAAATTTCCTTTTGTTTCTGTTGAAGCTTGACTTGAAAAAGTTCACTTTCTAGATCACTCACTTTTCTCCGGTATTCTAATTCCAATTCTTTCTTATCAATATCATTCTCCCGACGTCTAGTTCTGATTTCATTAAGCAATTGTAAATTCTCTTCCTTTAGACGTTTAATTTCTTCGGGATCATAATCTAATACTGGGAATTTAGTCTTGCCATTGATACTGTTATTCAATTCTGCTGAGGTTGAGCGACGTGCTGTCCTTGGAGGTACAGGAGATGGTAAAGTTTCATTAACTTCTGTAATTTCACCAACTGTTGGTGAATGCGAAGGTGATCTATAGTCATCATTCACACCAACAGTTGAATTCTCTAAAGGAGATTGCGCCACCAGCTTGGTAACACGAGGAGTACTGATTTCTACTGGTGGTTGCAAATCATCGTATTCATTTGACAAAATTGGGTTTTCGACTGGTTCAAGTGAATGTGATATTGCCTTGTCTATAGGGCTACCGGCAGCTGAGTTATCCAGATTGATAACAACAATTTCCGGTGAAGGATGCTCAGCTGATGCTTTTCTCTTATGACCCGTAGTATCTCTCTCCGGTAACTCATTACTTAGGTTACTATCATCACTCTCATGTCCATCAATATTTTGTTGCATTGTTCTACTTTGTGGACTGACTATATTACTAGACCGAAAATTTGTGATTTCACTTGTGACACTACTTGCATCATCATTGGATTCATTGTTCTGCTGAATATCCTCACTTTCTTGTATCGACTGTTCATCGAACTCTAACCCATCAATGGAAACAATTTCATCACTATCATCATCACTATTATCATCACTATTATGTTGCTGTTGTTCAACTCGTGACCTTGTGTTAAAAACTTGATTAGGCTCTCGGTCATCTTCTCCATCCTCATAATCTTCTTGATAGTCTTCTTCTTCTTCTTCCTCATCTTCTTCCTCATCTTCTTCATTGTCTTCGCTTATATTTACATTTTCCACTTCTCCATCCATAACAACCATAATGTCTTCAACTTCACTGGGTTCATCCTCTTGGATTTGTACAAGCTTTTTCAGCCCACTATTTTCTCTTTTGATATTATAAGATATATTCATTGTAGTGTCATCATCACTCACATCGATAACTTCTTTATCTGATGTTGTCCAATTTCCATCTAAATCAACATTAACAGACTCAACATTATTTGGAGTATTATCAACAATGTCCTTAAAATATTCAACAAGTCGTAAATCTTCTAATGCTATTGGTTTTAAACAACATGAACATTGTAGTTTGAATTCATTTTCAGATATATATTTTAAAAAATCAGCCGCATCAAAACAAGTCACATGATCACAATACATCCCTTGAGCAGGATATTTCATTTTTTGACCACTTAATGGATCTTTCAAATCATACGCAATAGTACTTAACAATATACCATCACTCAAACCTGCTTTATGCTTCTTTATTGTGATTTGTTTTGGAATTTGAGGTTTGTTGATAACTTCTGCTAATAGTTTTTTATATGAATACTTTTTGACAATACATAGATGTATTAAATAAAGATTTGGATCATCTGCAGAATTATATTCCAAAGTAATATGATTAAGTTTTGAATCTTTGTGGAGGTAGTCCGTAAGATCAACAGGTAAAGTATCAGATAAATGAGGGACTTGTTGATCATTTAAAAAAATTTGAACTTTAAAAGGATAATCAAATTCAACATTATGGAATTTTGTTCTTCCTAAACTTCCCGGTACATGAGATACCATATATAACTTATAACCTGGTTGTCTAAGATATCTTAATTCATCTTTATTTAAAATAAATGAAATTTCATTTTTATCCTTAGGAATTTGTTGTGGTGATACATGAATTTCATATTTGAATTTATAAAATGGATTCTGTTTGAATGATACTGCAATTCCCTTTAATGGATGAGGCTCAAAATCCTCTGGTATACATCTTGACATTAATCTAGGTACTGGAGGAGGTGGTCGTGATGGCTTTGATCCCTTACCAACAGTATTTAATAATGCAAAATATTCATTAATTATAGTTGGATCAGATATTTTCATTCGATCATAAACTTCTTTAAAATCAGGAAGATTATTGACAATCTTTGAATCTCGATTCCTTTGCAGTAACATTACTAAATGTCCAATGGCATGCAATCTTATCTGATCATTCTTTTGAACTCCTTGATCAAAATATATTAGTAGATTATGTAGTAATTCTTGTTTATTACCTTTGTTTCCTATTCGAAGTGAACTTAAAATAGCTCTTAGTTCATGTATTCTTATCTGTTTTAAAGCCATTCGACATCTATGAATGTCTTCTTCTGTATATGACGGTAGTCTCACCATCTGTTTTGCTGTTGTTGTTGTTATCGTTGTTGTCGTTCTTGTTATTAAACTGTGATTAAGTGTATCACGAATTATGAATCGAGTAGAAAATCAGAAAAAAAAAAAAATACAACAAATTTATTCTTAAGAATTTACAATCAGCGTGTTGCACTACGAGAAGTCAACCATGGCCGTTAAACTCTACCAGATAATTATGGCTCATGAACCACGTGTTATTACTATAATTGATGTGTATTTATCATTGGAATACTACAAAATCATTACCATATTCAAAAAGTGGCTACACCTAACAAACTAGCAGCATTCTTTGGATCCACGGTATCTGTTTGCAAAACACTTTCATCTTGCTTTCTATGTTCATTTTCTTCATCTTCCTTCTCTAATGATCTGAACGTTCTTGATGACCAAGAATCTCCTTGCGCTGATTGCGATTGGGTTAAATTATGTTTCAAATTCGATAAATTGTCACGGTTAAGACGCGATAATCCACCCTTTTCATCAACACTTCTCACATCCAATCTTATACTTTCCAAGTTTTTCAATATTTTTCTATGATGATCAACTTTATGTAATGTATAAGATTTCATTAATCGTTGAAACTTCTTTTCTGTGTATTCAAGTACTTCTTTTCTTTCAAAAAGCATTTCACCAGAGATTCTTTTGACTTGTAAATTTAGGGATTCATATACTTTAGTGGCATATTCGAGTGATCTCAATGCTTCATCAACTTTTATTGGATCTAATGAAGATTTGCTTTTAATTCTATTAGCATTTGTATGCTTACTAGCTGCATTTGATTCTGCTTGAATCAATTCTCTCATAATTAAATGTCTATTGGTTAAAGCTTCTTTGATTTCATAAAAATCATCAATCAAAGTTTGAACACCATCTCCCAAAGTTGCCATTTCATTAATTGAATCAACTAGAGTCAAATCTGATTGTTTTTGAGTGACTTTCCCAAATTTCTCCCACATATTCTTCATCCCTGGATGAGTCGTTTCAAACTCTGATAAAACTTGTAATTTGTTAGCCATGTCAAATATATGAATTGAAAGTTGTTTTTCAGTTTTTGAGTTTCTATCAAGGGCTTTATATAATCTTTGACAAATCAAATAAGCGTCTTTAATTACTGGTCTAAATGATGCTAATTCCTCATATGGATCATAAGGTACTGCTAATTGTTTTAAAGTTTTCCTTACAAAACCACTTGCAACAGATGATTTCCTATTACTATTAATCACAGAATATCCAAAATCACTCTCCACAAAATAAATAAATTCTTCATCTCTTATTAATATTGGATTACTTGTAATTCTGTCCAACCATTCTTGCCATACAATTTGAAGTTGTTTCCTTTCGTCTTCCCCACCAGTAGGAAATGAAGTATGTGGACTTGGCAAAACTGGAACAAATACTTCCAAATTAGATATGGTTAAATATTTGTTAAATTTAACAATTTCATTATAAGTTCGACGTACTTCTTTATATACTGATTGTCTAAACCTTGGTAATCCTTTAACTTCTACATTCATTTTTAAAATTGGGTTCCCAGGTTTATTTCTTTCAATTTCAATCAATTGAATAGATAAACTATATTTATTTGTGAATCGTTCAGGAAGTAATTTCTTTAACTCTTCTTCATTCAATAAATTAGGACTAGGTTCATCATCGTTTTCCTGTTGTTGTTCTTGGGTGTTGATTACATCGTGAGTTGATTGGGGAGGGAATGTCGATTGATCGTCATTTTCGTTAGTCACTGATGTGGCTGCTTCATTATTATGATCTGGAATAGTAGGTTCTGCAAATGGATTATTATTCTCAAAATCGTCTGGATAACCTATAGATGACATTGGGGAAAGTATAAACTAAATAATAGGCAATAAGCTATATGAATGAAATGAATGGAAAAACTTGTGGTGGAGACAAGGATTAATCAGTACGGTGTTTTTTTTTTTCCCTGTCGATTTTTATTTTATTATTTTTTTCAAAGAAATTCTCGGTTACACTGACATTCATCAAGATTTTATCAGTTGAGTACAACAAAGGCGATTGTTGGGCTTACATAGGCACACTCGAATTCATTAGAGATGTTTAGTTACATCTTATCATGACCAATAATCCTTAAACTATACATTAATATTCATATGCAAAAGCCTCTCTAATCCTAATAACTAATCGGTAGAAATAATGTCTTCACCTTCAAGTTCAACACTTTGTGGTTCAGGATCGATTTCCATATCTTGTTCACTCTCTTCTTCTTCGTCTTTGTCTTCATCAATGGCATTTGATTTAGCATCTTCTATTTGTTTTGCCAACAAATGGTTATCCTTATCAAAAAATTCTGCTAATTTCTCAGGCAATTTGAAGGTCCCTTCAAATGAATGTTCTGCTGAATAAAATAGTATCAATTGTTTATTATTGAGTTTGGTTTCTTCCAACACAAAAGCTTGCACCGCTTCAAAACTCATTGCTTCAGAACGATAATTCAGGGCATTATTGTATACCAGATCAATCATCACAAGAAACCAATCTTCGTCATCGGATGTAGTCAAGTCCCTTGCTCTATAGATATATGCCGAATCAGAAAGAACAACACCTGCCAAATAATACTTCTCTGGAAGTTTCATTCCTTCTGATTTAATCATTTCAAGAATATTTTCATGCTTAGTAGTATCCATCTTTACATAATCCTGTCCAAGTTTCCTTAATCTTTCATTCAATATAACTGATTCACTCTTGATTTTGTCTGTAAGCTTTTGTAAATCATCATGAGTTTCCTTTTCATCGGTTGTGGCAAAATAGTCAATACTGTTTTGAAGGATCTTTTTGATCTTTTTTCCTTCAAATGAACTAAATTCCATTAGCTTACCCGTTATCCCTGATCTTTCCTTATGAATATTCAATTTCTTATGGTCCATTTTCTTAATCAATGAATAATACTCCTTGGAAAAAATACCCGGGTAGAAATATTCTGGGATTTCAAATTGTTGTGTTTGATATGATTCATCATCACCAAATACTTGTATGGTTAACAAAGAACCTATTTTTGTAAACAATGGGTTTAAATCTGAACTCCAAAACATAGTATTAAACCCTTCTTCAAGAGATGAACCTCTCATTTCAAAATCCATTTGTAAAGTTGCCAATTCTGTTTTTTCATCATCATTACATTCAACTTCAGTAATGAAAAATGAATTTAGTTCTTGATCTAATATTTTATTTGCCCCTTGGACCAAGTACAGATAAAAATTCTTGATCAAATCTTCCCATTCGTCGTCTTCATTTGTAAACTCTTTAGGTAATGCTTTCATCAAATTCTCACCACTTATAAAAGCACGCTTACTAGCTGCAGTCAAGAATCCCAATATTCTTTGAACTTCAACAACAAATCTGTACAACATTGGATCATCTTTGTGTTCCTCAGGGATTTCAATATCCAATGCCGTATTTGGGTTAAACCAATTTTCATCAAATCCATAATTCAAATCTTTACTAAGATACACTTGTTTGAGTTTAGTAATTTGTGATAATGAAATAAGCAAAGATAATAAACAACTTTGAAAAGTATTAGTGGTCACTGGTATTACTACTGGAGATACACCAGGTTCTCTTGGAAAACTCAATGGAATGTTATAAATTGATTCGAAGGGTTCGGAATTTCTACTATCTAGATCCCTATTACTTGCTGAATAATTATCATACTCGACATCATAGTCATTATCATTGTCATAATCATCTTCTCTTTCAATATGTTTAGTCTTGCTGTTTGCCTCTGATTGATCATAAGATCCTGGCAAATATTCCTGTTGAAAATCGCCCCATTCAGCTGTACTGCTGGAGTTATCATTCATCAGAGTGAAATCAGGTATATCATTTGGATTATTTACTTGAACAGTATCAGCGTATGGAACTAGTTGGGCATTTTCTTTATTTTCTAAATGTTGTGTTGGAGGCGGTGGTGGAGCCGGTCCTGGTTGGGAGATTGGTTCTCCAAATAAATGAGCAATTGCCAATTCCAAATCATTATTTGAAGCTTTCAATGCTTCAGTTGCCTGTTCTTCGGAGAAACCCATCTCCTTTAATTGTTTGATCTTCTCATTGGTCATAGTAATGGATGATTGTAGGTGTGTATATGTAAATTTGTTGTATCGGATTAGTGTTGTCTAATCTCTCTTGGATTATTTTTTTTTGTCTGTTGTTGTTGTTGTCTGTCAATTTTGTTGCCCTCCCTACTTTTTGTCCACGATACCGCATGATTGTAGTCTAGGTATGAAGATTTCACATCATGGAGTTTATTTTACGAAGGGCGAAGATCAGAGGTTTGAATGTGGTAATAGTGACATTACAACGTCATTGATACTTTGTCTCTCAAACAGAGTTACCCTTGTACTAGAGTACTAGCTGTGTGGATGTTTCCCATTGGTTGCAAATGATCAGCACATTGTGGTTATCATAGAACAAGATAGAACAAAACCATTTTGATGATATATAGATTCATCATCAGGGATTCAATAAGTTGATCACTTTGCCATTGAATAATCAAGGTCATGTAATTTACTTTAGGATCTCGTCATCAACTATCACCATTAATATTATACGCAGTCCCCTTACTCGAATCCCAAAAGAGTAATAGAAAATTTTTCCATTTTGCTTAGCGAAATTTTTTTTTTTTTTTTCAGATTTTTTTTTTCTCCCTTGTGGTTTTACTCATCATCATCTCAAAACCAAATTCCAAAAAGAAGTCTTCTTTCTTTACTTTTTTTTTTATTTAATGCAAATATTGAAGAAATTTAATTTCTCATCAATTAGTTTGTTCAATAGATCATTTCTTTTCAATCAAGGTAGAATTTATAAAAGAAATATGTCTGTTTCCACCATTACTGAAAGTTTAAAAGAATTGGGATTATCTCAACCTGAATCTCTTGAAGGTACTTTACCTGAATATAATGCCATTGATGTTTTCAGAAACTACATTGCTGATGAATTACATCGCATCACACAAGTTGACAAATCCATTGTTATTAAAGCTTTAGATAGTTCCAAAGTTTTAGAGCAAGGTGATATTATTGTTCCAATCCCAAAATTAAGAATCAAGGGTATTAATCCAAATGAAAAGGCTAAAGAATGGGCTGAAAGTTTCAACAAAGGTCAATTCATTAGCAATGTTAACCCACAAGGTGTTGTCTTGCAATTTCATTTTGAAAAATCTGTTTTGTACAGATTGGTTATTGAAGATATCTTGAAGAGAAAATCAGATTATGGTTATTTACCATTAGGTCTTTGGTAAAAAAATTATTGTTGAATTTTCATCTCCAAATATTGCTAAGCCTTTCCATGCTGGTCATTTAAGATCTACTATCATTGGTGGTTTTATTTCCAACTTGTATGAAAAGATTGGTTGGGATGTTACTAGAATCAATTATTTGGGTGATTGGGGTAAACAATTTGGTTTATTGGCTGTTGGTTTCCAAAGATACGGTTCTGAAGAAAAATTAGCTACCGATCCAATTAACCACTTGTTTGAAGTTTATGTTAAAATTAACCAAGATGTCAGTAAAGAAACCAGTGAAGCCACTGGTGCTGCCCAAGCTGAAGGTGTCGATGCTGCTGAACAAGACGAAAAAACCATCCAATCTTCAACCAACGAAGAAGCCAGAAGATTTTTTAGAAAAATGGAAGATGGTGATGAAGAAGCATTGAAGATCTGGTCAAGATTCAGAGATTTATCTATTGACAAATATATTGATACTTATGCTCGTCTTAATATTAAATATGATGTCTATTCTGGTGAATCTCAAGTTCCACAAGAAAAAATGAAAGAAGCTACCAAGATGTTTGAAGACAAGGGATTGATTGATATTGATCGTGGTGCCAAATTGATTGACTTGACTAAATTCAACAAGAAATTAGGTAAAGCATTGGTTGAAAAATCCGATGGTACTTCTCTTTACTTGACCCGTGATGTTGGTGAAGCTATTAAGCGTTATGAAACTTATAAATTTGACAAGATGATCTATGTTATTGCTGCTCAACAAGACTTGCACTGTGCTCAATTCTTTGAAATTTTGAAACAAATGGGATTCGACTGGGCTAAGAACTTGGAACACGTCAACTTTGGTATGGTTCAAGGTATGTCTACCAGAAAGGGTACTGTTGTTTTCTTGGATAACATTTTACAAGAAACCAAAGAAAAAATGCATGAAGTTATGCAAAAGAATGAAGAAAAATATGCCCAAATTGAAGATCCAGATAAGATTGCTGATTTGATTGGTATTTCTGCTGTTATGATTCAAGATATGCAATCTAAACGTATTCATAATTATGAATTCAAATGGGATAGAATGACTTCATTTGAAGGTGATACTGGTCCATATTTGCAATATGCTCATTCACGTTTATGTTCAATTCAAAGAAAATCCGGTATTTCTATTGAAGAATTGGAACATGCTAACTTTGATTTGCTAGTTGAACCATGTGCTGTTAACTTGGTTAGAACTTTGGCTCAATACCCAGATATCATCAAGAGAGCTGTTAACAGTTTGGAACCATCTACTATTGTTACTTATTTGTTCAACTTGACTCATATTGTTTCTCAATGTTATGATATCTTGTGGGTTGCTGGACAAGAAAAAGATCTTGCTGTTGCTAGATTGGCATTATATGAAGCTACCAGACAAGTGGTAAACAATGGTATGAAATTGTTAGGTTTGACTCCTGTTGAACGTATGTAAAACCTGTAACTCTTATAGATAGATTGCTACCAATGATATAAAATTTTTGTACAAAGATGTCTTTCCTTTTTTTTCGGTTCCGATACGAAGTGCGCGCTTGCTTCTACGCCAATAATAATTGTCATAATTCATACCAGTAAGCTGAATTGTCAAGAAATTACAAGAGATCTGGGTGACTAACCCACCAATAGATAAATGGTTAAGTTGGTGATTCTGTTCCCGATATATTAATTAATTCATTAATGATTTCAAAAATACTCGGGATTAAAAGAAAAAAGGAACAAAGGGAAATCCACGAGGTTGAGATGACGTAAGTATAAAGGTCGTGCAAATAAAGTTAATCTCCGCAACGGTGCTCTTTTCTTTCTTCCTATTATGTATACTTTTTTTTTTACTCATTGCCGTCATAATTTACACAGCAATTTGGAAAAACAAAAAAAAAAAAAAATCCCCTAAATTGTTCATCAATTGATTCTTTCTTTCTTTTTAGTATTTCCATTAACAAGAAAATGTTTTCCTTAAGATCATCATCTAGTCGTGTTATTTCATCTGTTAACAACTTAGCTAGAGCCACTAGAGTTAGTGGTTCATCAATGGCTTTTGTTAGATCTAAATATAGTTTACCAGAATTAGATTATGAATTTTCTGCTACTGAACCATATATTTCTGGACAAATTAATGAAATTCATTATACTAAACATCATCAAACTTATGTCAACAATCTTAATGCATCAATTGAACAAGCTGTTGAAGCTAAAGCAAAAGGTGAAGTTAAAAAATTAGTTGCTTTACAAAAAGCCATTAGTTTTAATGGTGGTGGTTATATTAACCATTGTTTATGGTGGAAAAATTTAGCTCCTGTTTCTCAAGGTGGTGGTCAACATCCAGATGCTGAATCCAATTTGGGTAAACAAATTGTTAAACAATATGGATCTGTCGATAAATTAATTGAATTGACTAATGCTAAATTAGCTGGTATTCAAGGTTCTGGTTGGGCTTTTATTGTTAAAAATAAATCTAATGGTAACACTGTTGAAGTTATCACTACTGCTAATCAAGATACCGTTACTGATCCAAATTTGACTCCTTTGATTGCTATTGATGCTTGGGAACATGCTTACTACTTACAATATCAAAATGTTAAAGCTGATTATTTCAAAAACCTTTGGAATGTTATCAACTGGAAAGAAGCTGAAAGAAGATTTGAATTTTAAGGACATTTAAGTAGGATTGCTTTCGTCAATGATTTGATCTTTACAAATGAATATATATATATAACAAAGGTATTTATTCCGAATGATGATGAATTATTTTTCGTTCTCTTTTTTTTTTTTTTTTTTTTCGCAGCACTGGCCCGTGACACCCGGCCACGTGGTTTTAGTAAATATTCAATGATGATAGTTTTGTTGAATATAACAGGTGGAGAGTAGCGATGCTTATTTGCAAAAAATAGTTCAGAAAAGTCTTTTGTAACAATATAGCGGTGAATGACTGTATTGAGTATATCACATGGCAAAACCAGCAAATTAAATTGCAGATCTTATTGACAGAATATCTCTTGTTTTGTTTATTTGGTAGAGATGTTCTCTTTTTGTTATTGATAATGTTTAAAGTTCTAGCCAAATGGGTATCTCGTTGTATAACCATAACTTTATCATGAAATCATATTGAATGATCTGCAAAATTCGTTTATTTATTTGTTTGTTCTGCATGTATACTAAAATAGAGGAACAAAATTTATCGACACATTTAACCATTCTCTTCTTCCAGGAATACGGGAAACTATGAACAAATCATATGAATTTCATAGTTGTGTACATATAATAGGAGAGGCGAATATTACTCTTTGAATTTACAAAAGTAATATTTTGTAAAATCTAAGTTTTTCTTCTTTGAAATACATGTAAGATATCACCAAAGTAAGGCATAAATAAAACGTATTTATAACTATATAATCGTATATTCTTTCGTTAATAATTACCTGATAATAAATATGGGAAAGTCGGCTATCAGATGGAATTAGAAAAGAAAAAAAAACGGATAATTTTACATTGATTAATTACAATGGTGAAATGATTTCTTTATATCCGTTGAATTTTGTTAGTACTTTGTATAATTTGCCTAGACGGTGGAGAAGGAAGAGTAAATATATGTAGAGTTATGAACATAACGTACAAGGTTATAAATAAATTAATAATAATGAATATTGAAAATGTTTATGTTGATGTTTATAGTATTAATTTATACACGACTTGTGTAATGGTTTTTATAGGACCCTTGTTGCATATATATATATTATTCTATGTGGCTAAGTATATATAGTAAATCAAACAAAAATAAGATACACACATTAATATACATGCACTGGTAACACAACTTCTTAAATAAGGAAAAAGAATTTTAAACAAAGTGTATGTCTCAGTTTAAGATTTCCCTTTTTTTTTTTCATCACATATATATTAATGTATGTATAATTGATAAAATTGCATAATTTGTTGTTTTAGAAAGAATTAAAGATTAAAATTAAATATGGGCAAGTTTTAACTAATTATGTGGTGACTTTGTTAATCAAGAGATTTACCTATGTTAAAAAGATAACTTTAAAAATTTGAGGATAGGTTATTTCAATAATAAAAATATATTGCGAAATATTTCCTACACGTTGACAATGAATAATTAAAACCTGTTGTTTTGTAAATCTAATATTCATATCTTACAAAAAAATTACGAATACCAGTACTAATGTACAATACTTGTGTTTGGAGTGAAAAGAAAAAAAATTCTAGACCAATACTGACATTTTGTTACAATTCATGTGTAATTTGATTATCTGTATTAAAATACACCGTGGTCTAATCTTTTTAATATTTAAGAAATAGTACAAGTTGCAGTTAGTTATTTGCTCATTGGCATTTATTCTATAAACTAAAAAGGGAAATAAATATATTCTACAATACCACATAATGTATTAAATCAACCACTAATGGGGAAAACAATTCATATTCAACAATAAGGAAATAAGGATGTGCTTTAAATTAAAGTAAAAAAAAAAAGCAAAAAAAAAAGCAATCAAATTCAAGAAGCAAGTGAAGAAATGAACAATTTAAATATTTAATTCGAGTTACATATAAAGAACCACAATGCAATCATGAAAGATAACAATTCAATAGAAAAAGCCAAAGAAAAAGAAACTCACAAGAGCAATATTTCATCTATTGTTGAATAAGCGCCCTTTTGTTTATTTGTTTCAATCTTTGTACAATACTTCATTGTAGTCTTGAATTGAATTTATATAATATATCTTGTTCTTCTACTTGTCTTTGTTTATAATAAATCTAAAAGATATCATCACAACTTATGACCAACAATTAATGGATAGGAATATATCAATCAATAAATTCATTCTAAGGATAATACTTGTATAACTTCAGGTGAATTTATTAATTGTCCCCCTCCCCTCCCCCTCTCTCTCTTCCCCTTCCCCCTTTTCTTATTTACTCGCCACAAGCATATCGGGGAATCGTGGGTACTTCCGAGGACGGAACCAGCGAAAAGACAAGAAAAGAAGGGAAGGGAAAAATAAATTACGTGGGGGATGATGAAGGGGGAGGGACAAATTCCGACTTTATTTCTTCCTTCTTACACAAAACATCAACAATCAAACCAACAACAACAACAACAACAATAATTGATTATTATTATTGTTAATAATAATTGAGTGCGGGTAGTAGAAGTAGTACAATAGTGGAGAAATGGCTCAAAGAATTGTACTAAATTCTGTTTTAAGGAACTTGTTTGTTGTTGTTGGAATTGTAGGAGATAACAAGAGGAGTGTATTGTTTATATGTTGAACAAAAGTGTTCTTGTCTCACTTCCGTGTATTCTACAAGGCAGGTACTCAACTTTTATGGCACTTTTTAGCCATTCCTTTCTCTTTCTCTTTGTATTCCCTCCTTAGTAATTATATCTTTGTCCGTTTTTTTCATCATCAAAATGGAAATATGCTTTCGGTTTGTGGGTGTGACGTTCTGTTTTCCCGGATTCTTTTCTATCCCTCTCTTCCTCTTTACATATACACTATCAGCGTGTTTTTGAAGCAACTCTTGATCTGATATCGGTTTGTCCATTCAATTGTTCTTGTTTTTTTTTTTTTTTTTTAATTCTGTATTGCAAAAGATGAATTAAATTTATTATAGGTTATGTAACCCTGTAAAATTCAACCTCGTTTCAAACGAAAACAAAAGATAATAATAACCCTGTATGAAATACAATATGTCATTAATAATAGTACCTATCTTTCATACAATTTCTCATTATCGTATCAATCACCTAATTCGTCATTAATATATAATGAACCAATCGTTTTCTCATAATAACGATTGATTTTCACTTTTTGTTATTGAATGGATATGTTGAATTATACTGTCTAGGAGTATAATTATTATTATTATTATAATTATTTCAATTTTTATTAAAGTTTAATATTAGTGCATTATGTGATGATTCACCTCATAATTAACACAATAAACATATTTGTTGGCTTAAAGGACTGAAAAATACTTAATAATAATAATAATAAAAAGAAACACAGCAATTGTTAGTTGTTGTTGTTGTTGTTGTTGTTGTTGTTGTTGGTTAGTTGATCGTGATTTCAGTGAAATTACAAATCAAGAATGAAAGAAATTTTTCAAAACAAAAAAAAAAATTCTGAAAATCAGACGAAACTTTCAAATGATAATTATGGTGGCTCTTTATTATTTAATTAATATATTAATATCAAAACAAATTGTAAATTCGAATATGTATAAACAGGTAAATTTTTTTTAAAAAAAAAATCTAGAATTGAAATTTTTTGTTTAAATATATAAAATCTAATGGTATAATTGATCAACAAGAATGGAATTAGATTAGAATTGTAAATGAGAATCATGTTGAGGTATTTCAGTATAATAACTTTGTAAAGCTCTTTTCAAAGCAGGAATTAATTTGTCCCATCTTAAAATTCTAACTTCTTTATCAAAACCTCTTGGTTTTCTAATTTCATAACCCATTATTCTTTTAGCTAATTCCATACGATAATCATGATTTGTAGGAAGAGTATTACCACTTGGAATATTTAAAGTATTATTAGATGAAGAATTCATTGAATTTTCACTCATTCTTGAACTAATTGGTTTTTTAGACCAAAATGGAACTAAATTGGATCTAACTCTACCTCTTTCTCTTCTTCTTTCAGCAGCATCTCTAAATTGATTACCAATTAATAATTCAACTATTTCAACAACTTCAACTGATGTTATATAATATTGATAATATTCTCCATCAACTTCATTTTTAATATAACTTGGTGATTTACCCCCGGTAGTAGTAGTAGTACCGCCAGTTGTTGTTGTAGTAGTATTATTATTATTACTAGAAACTTCATCATCACTTGATTGAGATTCATAATCATCATTAATTCTAACATCACATTCCAAACAAGAAACTTCAACAACATCAATATTTGAACTTGATGGAGGTAAAGTAACTGGATTTTCATTAGCATTTCCAATAATTGAAAAATTTGCTGTTATTTTAGGTCCATTTTGAATTCTTTCAATTCTAATAATTCTTCTTCTATCTTGTTTTTCCAGTACTGACCATTTTGGATAACATACATCTTCAATTGAAGCTCCAATTAAATTTAATTCAACTGGTAAATAAATTGAATCACTTTCAATGGATTCTTTTGGTGGTCTTGTACTACAACCTCCTGCTGAAACTCCTCTAATAACTCTATATCTATCTTTTGAAAAACTAGAATATAATTTTTTATCATTACCTCCTATACTTGATTCATGATCAGGTTCTTTTTTAATTGATGGAGAATGACGAGATGATGTTGTTCTTGATTTAGCTTTATAGGAAGTTGAAGTAGAAGCCTTTGGAAGACTAGAAGAATATTGTTGTTGTTGGAATTGAGGTAATGGAGATGATGAGGTATAATTCAAATCAAAAGTGGTTGATGTAGCAGATGAAGGAGGTTGATGAGGATAATTTTGGTTCAAATCAAAATTAATTGTTTGTGATTGTGGTGGTTGTTGTTGATGTTGATGATGATGAGAAGGATCGAAAAATGAAGTCATTGAACTTGAGGATGCGTAAATATCACCAGATATACTTGAAGGTAATTGAGGTTGTTGTGCAGGAGGAGTTGAGAATGCGTATTCTTGTTGTTGAGTATGGAAAGAATACAAAGATGAGGAAGTTGAGGAATTATTAGCAGTACCAATGTTATAATGCAGATTTTGTTGATAAAGTGGTTGAGGAGGATTGAAAGCACCATAATAAGACGATTGACCAGCATTCGAAGTATTACTGTTACTTGGGATGGCTCCTAAATTCACATTAATTGATTGTCCATAAAAGTTGGATGTTGAAGTAGAAGTAGTAGTTGAGGATTCAAGATCTAAACCTTGATTGTCTTCATTATTAAATGAAGGTTCATCTAATAAATAATTTGAAGTAGACATAAAAGGTTGTTGATATTGATAAATCAGGGAAGATGCTTGATGTTGTTGAGTGCTTGAAGAAACACTATTAAACATAAGATCGTCTTCAACTTGAGGAATTGCAAAACTAGTACCTTGTAATTGTTCAGGCATTGCTTGTTGTTGCTGTTGCTGTTGTTGTTGTTGAAAATCTTGGGAAATTGTAGAATAATTTTGGTTTGTGTTATTATTGATAGTATTGCTATCAATAGTGTTAGTGTTGTTGTTGTTGTTGTTGCCAGTAGTAGTAGAAGTAGAAGTATGATCAATAGGATCTAACATATCAAAGCGAGTGGATGGGAATAGTCTTGGAGATGAAGATAAGAACATATGGTGGAGATCTTTTGTTGATACTTTATTCAAAGACAGATGATAGGAAAAGAAAAAAATATAAAATGTGAAATGTCAAAGACGAGTGGAATTCAGGGTTTATTTAAATGATTGTTCACTTGAGTAGCAATTGGAATGACGTAAGTGAAACAAGTTGTTGTTGTTGTTGATAATGTTGATGCTCTTGATGTTTTCTAATTACAAGTAAAGTAATGAAATGTTTCGATTGTTAAAATTTTTGAATGATCAAAAGAGGTTGTGCTAAATTTATTGTCATTTAAATATATTTTTGTAAATTTTGTATTTAACCGTTCCTTCTTACATTAACAATCACAAAGAGCAAATGAGGGAAAAAAAGAAATTTAAAAACGAAAGAGAAGAAGAAGAAGAAGAAGAAAAAAAAAATAATACAAAAATTAATCCTGTTTTGTGTCTTTGATGCACAACCTCCTAATTATGCTTTCTTCTAAAAAAATAAAAAAATATATATTTCCGTTTAGCCCCTGTTGCTTTGTGTATGTTATAGGAGTTTATGAATTTCTTTTTTCATACAGAATGCATCTCGTGTTATTTCGTTTTTTTACTGCTTCACACACACCCATACATTCACACGTCAGCTATTATGATAGAATTGCACGTGACAGATTCAATCAATAATTACAATTTGTATGTGTGTGTCTGTGTGTGTGTAATTGATAATAATGATAAGATGCATAATTGATGTTGTATACTACTGTTAATGTTACGTTGTATTCAAGAATAAAAGGGGTGCATGCCAAAAATATGTCCACCAGTATATAAAAAAAAAATAAGACACAAATGATAATAATAACAACCAATGAATTCTTAAAACGTCAAGTTTTGATATTTAACAGAAGCTGTGATGAAGGGGGGAAAGAGGATCCTCTACAATATTACGAAGCTGATGAAGAAATAATTAACAGTTTCCATTCTTTGTAAATTGACAGGATGTATCATTACATCATCTTCATAATTGAACCAATAACTAGAGGAAAATCATAATTATGAAAATGACACAAAGGGTAAAACTTTCTATATATCCAAGATCGCGTTATTAGACGTTATACCAGATACAATACAATTTGATTATCTTCTTCTTCTTCTTCTTCTTCTTCTTCTTCTTCTTCTTCTTCTTCTTCTTCTTCTTCTTCTTCTTCTTGGTGGTCGTCACAATTGGTTTTTTTTTTCACAGCTATGCATGAAATCTACACAAAATTTCATATGCACTACTACTATCACTACCACAAAGCATACTTTTTTTGAATCCACATTCTGTTTGTTGATGTTGTTCGTTTTTTTTTTTTGGTTATTTGTTAAATTCCCGATGGATCTAATTGAATCACGTTTTTAGTTGAGTTTAGTACAAAAACCCAGCCTCATTATTCATAGAGTGAGTTTTCTAAACAAACGGAATTAGTTACTAATTTAGTACCTGATCAGACTACTTTCGCACCATTGTTCGACACATCAATCAAACATAGACCAAGCATTTAACAAAAAACAAAAAAAGCAAAAAACTTTTCATTAGCCAATGAAAACGTGCATTCAAGGATTACAGGAATTGCAAACAATTAGTAGGAAATAAAAAGTAGAAGAGATGTACACAAACTGCAGGGTAATTGATAGATTACTAATATGCTAAATATAGAACATGTCCATTACTCTACATATATCCACAATCGTGATATCTGGGTTACGGCAAGATCAAGATAATTTGATTTGCTTGGTTTTTGATTTCATCATATCCTCAGAAGTTGTTTTGTTAAATTTTGATTATTACTATGATTAGTAGTATGCACCATCTCTTGTTTTTCTTTTTTTACTGTAGAATGGAAGAAGGAGGCATTGACTAACAAAGATCGTGATCATAAAAATGACTTCTTTGTGTTTGGTTATGCTTTTGTAAATCAAAAACGGTCAAATTTCCGATGAAAAAAAAAAAAAAAAAAAAAAACAATTGTCCTTTTCTTTATTTTCTTCTTACATTACTTGCAATTTAAACCATAATACATGTACTCACAAAGATAACGTATACACCATGCAACTACACGCACTTACACACACACACACGTACGTATGTATGTATGTACGTATGTAAGTAAGTAGTTGAAAAGTGGAAACAAAACCGGCAGATCTGCTGACCGACTGACCGACTGACCGATGAATCCCCGGTATTATTTTGTCATCTTCTTCCTCTTTTTCCATGTGCCCCTTTTATTTTGGGTGGGAATTATAATAATAATATTATTATTATTTTATGTGAATGATAATTTAGAAAAAGATACTTTTACGGTATTCAATAAAGTTATAATTATTAAGAGTAATACACGATGAAGGCTATTAATAATAATATTAAGAATAATACTAAAAAGAAAAAGAAGAACGGCAATTCAATCAGAAAATGAAAAATAATTATACGGCAATTTACAAAAGATATCATAAATTGAATACTTGTTTTTATAAAAATTTGATAGGATAAGAGGAAGAAATTAAAAACAATCTCCACACAGTTTACACTTTGACTGGTTAACACACATGTTCAAACGCTCAAACACACACCCGCTGATATCTCTACACACGTTTCTTTTTTGAAGAAGATAGATCCCAGCAAGCAACCCTTGAACCTTGATTTTTTTTTTTCATGTATGAAATTTTTAGTTCAATTCTTTTAAATCAATTTAAAATTTAAACAATACGGAAATGGAAAAACAAGATATATTCTTCTAGAATAAACCAATTGGTTTTATCAAAATTCTTTTGACTTCTTGATTGATTGATTGATTTTGAACAATCTTTTTTTTTTTTTGTCTTGTTTTGTTCGATTTTAGTAAAGTAGTGCAAAGCACAAAAGGGGGAAATCCAATTAAAAAAAGGCTAAAAGTGAAAAAAAAATTCTCTCTAATTCATCCTCGGAACAAAGTTTTTCCCTCCTTTTCTACCCCTAAAAAATGTTAGTGTTGATAGTTCTGCAATCCATTTCATGAGGGAAAGATCACTTACATGTACGACGATGATGAAGAAGAAGAAGAAGAAGAAGAAGAATTATCACCACATTATCAACATTGAATATTCTTGTGTTGAATCCCCTTCACTCCATTTTATCATTTAATTAAATCCCATTACATAGCAATTTTTTCTTGTTTCCATAATTCGTAATAATAATTTGGGTTTCGTTATTTGTTTCCCCCCGTTCCCCCCAAATTTGAACTCTTTTTCTCTTTTGTGAACATCATCGGGATTGAAGTCGGCTTTACCGTCGGAACCAATTACTTTTTTATATCGACTTTTGATTACTTTGCATAAGTGTGTATAAAAGCTCTTTCATTTCTTTTGAGTTTTGGGTTTTGATTTGTGCATATTGTTATTTCTTTAGACTTCGCCGAACTTACCCTATTATCACAAAGAGTATCACATCTTAAAAGCAGAAACTAGCAACAAATGCAAAAAAACAAGAATTCAATTTTATGATTCTTTTTCATCACCTTACATAAAAAATTCAAAAGAGGGTAGAAACAAAAAGAAAGGCTATACGTGAATTAAAATCAATGATCAATGGATTGAACCTACGTATCTTACTCAAAATTGATAATCCCCGGGAGTATGAAGAAGAATAAGAAATTGAACAAAAAAAAAAAACTAAACTAAACTTAGGAAACACGACCCAAGCCACAAGAACGTTTTCTTTCAATTTCAGATTTATAAAACAAGTAAATGAATAATCTTTCTGTAGCGTGATAGTGTTTGTTACCTTATTCAACAAATAAATATTACGTTCTGGATTACTAATCAATAAGATGTGTGTAATTGTAACAAAGTTTTAAGTACAAAGTAATTGACTAACCCGTGAATTTTAAATTTTGCTCTTCTTTTAGGGTTTTCCTTTCAATTGCTTTAATTTTCCTTAAACTTCGATGCATGAAGAAAGAACAATCACCTTATTGTTTAAATTGTACTTCCTGCCGTTTCTTTTTCATTATTATTATTATTATTACTATTAGTAGTAGTATTCAATCATTGACCAATTCGTATTCGATATACTCCACCTATATGTGGTGTATCTTGGGGTTAATTTTGATTTAACCCTCTCACTCTTTCTTGTTCATGCTCTCCCCTCTCATGTGGTGTTGATTTGAAATGATGAAATAGAAGCAGCACGCTTATCCACCTCATGCAAAATGTAAGCAGAAAAGTATCGGGAATAGTTTCCCATATTCAAAGATTTAGAAAACAGAACAAGATGAAAGTAATTCATTAAAATGTTTAGTCCATAATGAATGAAATGAGTGAAAGAAAAGAAAAAAAATTTTCTTTTTCTTAGTCGTTATTTTTAGTTATAACGTATCACAACCATTACACTGATACTTTAATCTAATTTAAAGATTCTTCTTGATATATAATTTAGTGATTAGTTTTTAAAAAAAATCACTGTTCACGTGATGTATATGTTCAGTTTACCTTATCTAGAGTATACATCAAGAACAATGAATAACAAATAAGTGGAATATGGCTGGCATTAATTTGTTTGTTTTAATTCTAGAATAATATAATTTGATAAGAGACCAAAGACGTCATCGTTCGTACGTATACCCTATTAACCATCACAATACAAATTGGAATCAAAATATCTCTTTTGTGATAAAGTCACATTTCAAAAATTAAAAAAAAAAATAAAACTAAAACCGTTATAATAACATATACTTCTATTTTTGGTTAATTTTGTAAATGAGGAGAAACTTGACTTTCTTGTTCTTCTTCCTCTTCTTGTTGTTGTTGTTGTTGTTCTTATCAAAATTAAAACAATGTATCAGCGGTTGATATGGATCCAATAACAAGAGGAACAAATTATCAACTTTTCTTATACACTACTGGTATTAGAATTTGATTGTTGTATTTCTTTTTTTGGGTTCATGATGCCGTACGATGTGTCACGGGTTATATATGTATATATATTTCTTTTCAATTTCTTGTTTGCTAAACCTTTTAGTTTAGTTTAGTTCAGTTTAACGTAGAATTACTATTATTTTCTTAATCTAACGGTGAATATTCCGAAGCAATAATTATGCATCCTGTATCATGCAAGCTGCAAGCTGTAGGATGCAATATGTCGCCAACGGAATCACCGCTGTGTAATACCGAAAAAAACGAGTGGAAGTTGAATTCCGTGTTACTTGTGCATATCCTTTCAAGATGGGTCTTTTCTTTATTATATTATATTTGGCATAGTGTTAGTGAATAACTAAGCCCTTTCAATAGTTATATTTATTATAAATCATATGAATAATAAACAAAAAGTGTGAAAAAATTATTATCACGTTATTACGTATCAACCATTTATTCACTTTCTGGTTGGTCAATTTACTTTGTGTGTGTGTGTGTGTTTCTTGTTTCTCATTTCTTCAAACCATTTATTACACAAGTAAAATAACCCCTCGTCCATTACATTTCTTTCACTAACCTCAAACTGAAAGGGATTGAAGGGAAAGCAAAAGTAATAATGACGAAATTGATTTATTTCTAATTTTAACCACCATTTGTATGGTCAACCTCTTAACCATAAGAAGATGCTAACAAAATAAAAAAAAAAAAAATGAAACATTTGCGATGAACTCTCTTATTGTCTGTAACTATAACACAATATTTCTTCTCCGATGACTTGGAATAATTTCCCTATCCTCCCCCACTCTTTATAGGAGATATCGCTAAACACCAATAATACTTATAAAGGGTACAGTCTAAAAAAGAGCCTCTAACTCATATACGGATACCACTTGAACGAAACGAACAATTGTCGTCGTTTTCGCTCCTTTTCTTCTACGTTTGATATTTTTTTTTTTCTTTTCTTTTCAATCATCGTATAATAGAAAAATTAAAGAAAACCATCACAAGATATCTCAAGAATAATTTGGTAAAGTTATTTTTAGTTTCATTATCAAAAACTGTAGATCACAATGAAACTTGTCATAGGTAAAAGTGTGGTGGGGTGAGAGTAAAAATGTTTGGTTCCTTATCCCGTAAATATCAATCAAAAAAAAAAAAAAATAAAAAACTAAAAATTAGAATGAAAAAAAAAAAAAACGTTACGTTATGACACATCTTAACAAGGCTGTGAAATCTTGATTTTACGTGATCTTCCTTAAATTCTACTTAATATTAATCGTACCAAATTTGAAACATTCCCGTCTGGTTTCTTCGTGAATTTTTTTTGTTTTATTTTTAAAGGTAATAATATTAACAACACAAAAACTTGAATAAATGTATCATCGCCATACATATTCATCTGTAAATTTAAACCAATGAATGAAAGAATGATTCACGAATAACCGATAATACTGTATCGTGCAGTACAGTAAAAATGTTACGTACTGCAAATCCTAAATTTGTTATTCCAAATATCTCAATCAAGTGGAGATTTCTCAATAATCCTGATGAATGGATACATGGACAGATAAATGAATGGTGGGGGGAGTAGATTTGTTTATCTTTTTTTTTTCTTTTTTAAACCTTTAAACATTATGCAAGAGAATAAGGCAAATGCATTTATAATTATCACACACCAACTTATCAATCAATCAATAAAGAAGATAATATGGTTAGGAACAAGTGTTGATGTGTTTTTTTGATTTTTGTTTTATTTGTTTTTGTTCAATTCTTATTTTTCATCTTTATCTCTTACCGCCGTGATTTTCTCTTTTTCATATACAATATATTGATTCTGTGTAAAGTTATGAAAAAAATATTTATCCCATTCTACAGTGCATTACATGAGCAGGAAAGAAAAAAAGAAAAAGCTTTGCCCGGTTTTTTTAGTTTTCTAGAAAAAATTAATGACTTACTTCCATGCATGGAATTAAGACGTTAGTTAAATAAACTTAAAATCTATCATGCATGATGTGTAAAAACACAGCCTAATTTTATTTTGAGCATGACACACTTAGTTATTTCTTAGTTTTGTGTCTTTTCTGGAAATCTTCCAATAATAATCTTAAATTTTTTATTTTTTTTGCCTATTGTCTTTTTGTGTGGGGGATTCCATGCATTGTAGTTTATTTTCCGTTTCCATTTATGGAAACTTCTATTTTTATTTCTTTTCTTTTTGTCTTATTGGTTGATCAAGGTTATGAATTTCTTTTTTCTTTTTGCAAATTTGATTTTGTGATTGGGATTAAAAAATTTTTTTGATTTTTTTTTTTCCGGTTTTTTTTTTTTTTTTTTTAGTAATTCTGGATAATTTACGGAAGAATGATTTGCTATACATGAACAGAATATGTACATGCCAACCTGGTTTCTATTAAAAGAAAACAGTCATTATTTCTTCATTATCAATATCAACCCCATAGCCTACCTTTGATGCCTTACATACACCTACATATGTGTCAAATGAGGAGAATGGAATAACAATAGAACTTTAATGAACAATATTTAACATCAGGTTGTCATGCCATATTAGTTAATAACTTGCTTGAATATACAAAGAAAAAAACCATGGGGAAATTGATTCAAAAGCTAACTTACGTCATGTTATCTTAATTTATTCGTAATCTAAAACGTTTTATTTCTTATTAAGTACACACAATATATTTTTAAAATCTTAAAATAGAATAGTCGTGTCTAAATTTGAGTTTGGTTTTTTTTTTATTTTGTCTTTAATATTTCTTTCAACAATTGATCCCTCTCTTTCTATCTCTCCACTCCTAACCAAACGCAAAGTTACGCGGAATTATGAATTAGTAAAGATTCAAAAGTGGGACATTTATTCCCGACGACAATAAATTAGGAGTTAGGAGGTAAAGGGAAATAATAGTAGTAATAGAAAGGATTAAAATACATTTTAATGAGAGATAACCATTGCTCGTTTATACTTGACCTATGACTATTTAACTCTGTATTTTTGGTTTAAGATCTGAGTTATGAATTGCCTTCAACAACTCCGAAAATCCATTGATCTAATAATGAGTCATTTACTATTCTTGCAATTTCAGTAAATTTTTTTAGTAATATATTTTTGAATAACAACTAGATTTTACGGTCTTCTCTCTTAGTAAATCTTTCTGTAAAATTTCGTAAAAATTCTTAGACAAAAAAAAATAATTTACACTCACACTAGTCACGTTCGCGTGATCATATCACACGTGATTAACACAAGAAATATTTCTTTATGTATATATTCAACTTTAAATAATGATAAAAATAATAATAATAATAGAAAGAATATAAGAAGTATAGTACTCACGATAATGCTTTATTGACAACCTAACTGATAAACATCAATTATTTAGTAGCTTTTTCAACTCTAGTAGTCTTTTTATCATATTTAGGATAATAAGTATTGAACAAATATCCATCAAGTAAAACTAAACCAGTAATAATAGAAGCATGTAAACCAACAACATATTTGTTATCGGTATTAATTCTATGTCTTTCCAAATAACCCAAGTAACCGGCACTCAAACCACCAGCAACAACGGCAAGTTGAGTAACAACAACTGGATTTTGTAATTCAACAGAAGTTCTAGAAACAGCTTGAGAAGTAACTTTAGAAACTTCATTAGCGGTTTTATTCAAGGATTGACCAACTGATCTAGAAGTTGCTTTAACCCATTTAACAAATTTACTCAATAAATCTTTACCTTCTTCTTCTAAATGGTTCAATTCTTTTTTAGCTTCTTCTAAAAATTCTTTACTTTTATCATTTGCTTCTTCTAAAAATTCTTTACCTTTAGCACTTGCTTCATCAAAGAATTCTTGACCTTTGGCACTCAATTCATTGGCCTTTTCTTGACCTTTAGCACTTAATTCATTGGCTTTTTCTTTACCTTGTTCTTTCAAATTTTCTGATTCTTGAGCAACTTTCTTTTCGATATTTTTAGCATCTTTTTTCAAATCCTTCTTGATTTGTTCGTTTGATGGGGCTGGTTCGTTTGAAGATGACATGATGGAATAGATACGAATTGACTTAAAACAGTAATACTAACAAATAATAAATAAATAAATAATTAATTATACAATCAAACCTATGATAAATAGATAAGAATAAGGACAAAATTTATAGGAAAGAAAAGTGTAACCAAAAAAAAAAAAAAATTCTTTCTGAATGGAGACAGAGAGCAAGAGAAAATGGGGTGGGTTTTGCAAGGGGGATTTCATTTATTAAACAAAAGAGCGCACAGACACACACAAAAAACAAAAATATATATTGGAAGACAATTGAGAGCTTAACAGTTTTTGTGATTCAAGTAGCAATCTTAGAAATTCCATACAACAACAAGTAAGAATTTTCTTTTTTGCTCTCTAGTTTACAAGTTTGCTATTTAATTTGCTGTGCTGGATGTCCAAGTGATCAATATCTCGTGATACAATTGGTACAGTACAATACTATTTTGATGTAAAATTCACCAATGAAATTAAATCTATTTTAATTATGGGCTGTTTTTGTATTATTTGGTGGCTGTCTGTGAGATATTTAAGATTTTTTTTTTTTTTGCTTTCGTTTTTTGGTCTTTTATTTTCTTTCTTATCAGTTGATTCATGTAGAGACAGAAAAGATGAGTGACACACACACACACACACACCCTCTGTGCGCTTTTGTTCTGTAAAGAATATATGGGGTAATTTATTATTTATTAATTTTTCCCTTGCTTAAAACAAAGGGAGGGGGAGACAAAACTATT